TAGGTTGTTAATGCATAATTAACGTTAAACTTACAGTTTTGGCCAATATTGGATGTTCGTTCATACGGTTCAACGCATGCAGCAATTATTCAACATATTTAAATGCTGGCACTCCCCAGTGTCACAGTTATAATTACTCAACTGTCAATTTTTTGCACATGAGAATGTTCATAAGCAATGCGTCTTTATTCGGAAATATTGTGGATGATATTATTTATTTTAATGTATTTGTTTTTGTACATTAAGTCTCTTGTCTCACTCAGATCTAAGATTATCGAATTTTTTTCTTATTTTTTTAAATCTCTTTTATTTCTGCTATCAATTCCTCAATTTGCTAATATTTGACTATCATTTCGTAGCATTTTATTAAGAAGTTTTGTACCTGCAAATTGCTTAATATTAGACTCCATGTCTGAGACCCATATGTCAAAAAATGGACCCATTCTTATTTTTTAAGTACTCTTGTTTTTGTTTGGTTTTTATTTGTACTGTTCTGTCTTTAATCTACAGTTTATCATAAATACGATTATTGTTCAATTAAAACCCATATTTGGTCCAGGAAAATTTTTATCGCCTTTTCAGTGTTCCAAATGATGTGAAAATCGCTAGACGTTAAATAGGCAGTATAGAGTGGATGCTCTAGTATCCTCCATTTCTTTGATTGTATATTTTCATTCACCAAATGAGAGTTTCCCTAGACGTTTTCGTCATATTGCTTGATGGAGCTTGTTCAAAAGTTTCATTATACAGGTTTGCGTTGATATAAACTCTGACATAAGATATTAACGTGACCTTGTGTGCAGAGGGCAGAGCTGGCTTCGGTGGTGAAAATTTTTGCCTGTGTCCATTGCATCGACAGCTTACTGGATGGTTCAAAATAATGGCACCAAATTGCATCGCCAGAAATGATTGATAAACAAAAATCATTACCGTTTTGGCTGTATTCTATGAGATGTTGCAAACATAAACCCGTCGCCAAGCTTTTTTTGTCCTTTGAAAAAAGGCAAATGATCTATTGCGCACAAACTTTGCTGTAAACTAGTTTATGTACGTATGAACAGATTCTATACTCAAACTAATATTTTCTAAAATTGCTCTGGTTGAAATGTGACAATTTTCTCTAATCAAACCTTTCCCACATTCCACATTCATGTCTGTTGAGTCAGTACTCAATGCACCTAGTCGCTACTCATTCGTCTCCCCACTTTCACACTTAAATTTTCAACACCATTACTTGACAGTTAGATACACTGCTTTTTTGACCGCACATTTATTATATTTGCACGGATTGTTAACAACAGACTCAATTTAAGTCACAGTACTTACAATACATAAAATCGCAGTCAAATACAAATGATGGGAACTGATCAGTGTGACGTTTAGAAACATGTCGATTGAGTGATTACAATTGTTTTCAACGCTAATCTGACCAAAGATAACTTTTAATTGAAAAAACGTATGTTGCTTCTAAATTTGTATTTTTTTATTTTCCTTGTATTTCTACTCTATTCCACACCGCTACAGCCCATTCTTTTAGATTCCTTCCTTAAATCTTCTTTAACACTCCATTCAGGGAAGTAGGCTTTTGCCTAGTGCTTTTTTCATGAGTTATTCAGCACAGTTTCTTAACATGGTGTACTTTTGGCATTATTTCCATGTAGCCTGTACATCTTGACCAACTATAATGCTTAAATATATAATTACTGCCTCAGTTAGTTTTGATTTTGGTCTTCTTTATGAAAGACCAATAAATTATCTTGTTCAAATTTTAGGTTCAACGGTATAGATTGACATTTTCCCCAAAAAGAAAATCATATTGTACTTTATTTACTTTATTGCAAACTTTAATGTGCTTAACATTGAGATAGGTCGCAGTTACGACTTACATAACGACGGTCAGCAAATGTACTCATTAGATTAAAATATGAACGCTTTGTTTTTACATTCGCCGCTTTTAAATATGCCTACAAGACTGGTTATAATAAATATTTGATTATTTACAATAACATTTCTTGCTTATTTGTTTATCATTTGTTAATATCACATTCGGCATTGACCTAGTTTCAATTCAAACGCATGTAAAACAATTTGCTTCGTGTATATTAATGATTTACCAAAACTTTGTAAGATTTTTTCGCTTACCTTACAACATATTGTCTGTTTTTTCATTTCCTTTTTTATTATTTCTTAATTTGTAATATATTTGTTATTGTTAACCATCATTTCTTTGGCAGTTATAATAATATTATAGTTTCTCCTGGATATTCTTCCTTGCTTTTTATCAAAGCCTCTCCAGAAATAAGGGAAGTTCACAAAACAGTAAAAAATTTACTACCAGAGAAGGTACATAGTAAACAAAATTATGTGCAGCCATATACAATGTGCAACATAAATATAGAAATATTTTAGAAATTTTCCACAAATTGCGTTAATTTTAATCAAAAAATTAATCGTAAATCTTACCGAGGTTAACAACTATCTTTTAGTTTCATGAAATACGAACATTCGCCGCTATAACACAGCGTGAACATTTTTATTATTAGAACCAATACTGACTGATATCTAATGCGTCGCAGACATGCAAGATATGATAACCAGTTCAGGTCTTCTACTACAGAGTCTACAGCTTAAGTTTTCATAAATGCAGTGCAATATTGTAATAAAATATATCTGCCTTAAACGCAGATATGCAGATGCAGATGCATTCTCATAAAATGTTTACATTTCCACCACTGCTGACTATTTCTACACCATACAGTCTGCCCGATACCCGTGTGTTTCCTGTGCTCCATCTCTCTTGTGAGCATATGGTACTTTACTGTTTTCCAAAATGTACTCCACCCTCTTCACAAAATGGTGCAGTGCTGGTTCCTACAGAGACATCCTGCTCTATACGCATACTTTACTGTATGTATCGGATTATCAACCAATAGACCATCCCCAATGTGACGATTGAGCAGTTTTTTCAGTACAAATGATCATATGCTGATATCAGCATACGCCCTCACGGACTTAACTCTTTCCTGTCTGGTTTTGCCAGGATTAGGTAGAAAAGCTACCCTAATCTATAGCCTTCAGTCCTGTCTGCTGCCATGTGCCTGCTCCGTTCGGCTTGCGGGAATAAGAATACGACCGAGGCCAATCTATCCCTGCCTGTCGTAAGAGGTTAACGAATGGGAAGGAATTGAGGGGTGCAGAGGCGTCACGGTCACCGGTCTACATTCCTAGTATCCGAGACCAGACTCTCATGGGACCACTCTAATCTCATTTCACAAGAACCAGTTGAGGTTAAATGAGCTGAGTCCGTAAGCACCTCTTTCGAGAATGTGTCTACGTGCGAGGTGGAATTCCTCTGCCTGCATCACCTTTCCGCCCGGGGGTGGGACTAGTCGACGGGTGACGTAATTGCAACACAGGTTTTACGGGGAGGGTAGAGCCCCACGATGCTTTGTGCCACCCTCATATTGGTGTCGGATTCGTAGGGGCAGTGGAGTCGCTTACGGTCGAATGCCTTACAGGCCAGGATATCCAGGGTCCAACCAATTTTAAAATTGGAGGGTCACGAGTATTAGCCATGCCATGTGCCTGGTAGTATCAGTTTTGATTCACACAGAATAGTTCTGTCATCGTCCCTTCGCCGTTTTAAGTGTATTCACTTAAATAGGTAAAGAAATAATAATAAGACTTACTCACAATCAATTTAATTTAACAATCTGACGACCGGTTTCGCTTTCTATAATTTGCAAAGCATCTTCAGGTCGAGATACAAAGTTAAACTAATGCTGCAATAAAATAAACCCAATTAGGGTGGTGTCTCATAAAGATAAAATAAACAAATAAATAAATTAGTTCATACAAATTATAGTAATTATGCCAATATTACATGTCTGTGGTTTTCAAAATGAATAATTTGAATATATAAAAGGTAGTAACAGACAAGGTAAGGCCCACAATTGGTATAAAGTAGCAATCTTTTGTTGTAATAAATTAATAAATGAGCAAATAAATAAAACAAAACAAAACAAACATTACTTACATGCCGGTACTCTATTAATTGATGGATGGTAGGTCATGGTTGCAAAAATCATGTATTGTTGATTGGAGAACTTTAATGAGCTATTGCAGTTGTTTTGACAATAAACGGGAAGTTCTTGAGGAGAACAGATTTGATCCAATGAATTAGAGATAGGTATATTGTTGTTGTTTGTCAGATGAAAGTGATGTTCTTTACTATTGTATTAATTAAATTATTTACACTTATAACAGAGATATATTTTTTGGAATGTGTGTTATTTATTGAGTATTTATGTAATTTATGTAACTTCCTTTGGAGTTAGAGTATATTTATCTGAGGTTCCTTGTAGCGAACTTTATGGATCAATAACATTTCTGTGGTATGTTCTATCTCCTAGCAATACCTTCATACCTAGCTTTAGATTTATTTCCTGACCAGATGGATGATTTGCTTGATAAATTTTTTGTGTTTGACTTATACAATATTGGATCATGATCTTTTTGTCCTGAAATTATAATACATATCCAATATTTTGACCGTTAAAGAAGGATCTTATTTTAAACATTATTTCTATTAATATTATCTAATTCTATTAATAAGTACATAAAACAGTTTATTAACTAACTATATTGAAATAATCATGAATCTTGGTAATGAAGCAATATGTCTCTTGATCTTCTTTGTTTAGTACTTTAACTATAAAACATTTTGTCTGGTATAGTCCTGTCAATTTGTCCTAGAACGAATCTATAAAAATAATGGACAATACCTTAACTTTTCTACTATATATCTGCATGAAATGTTATAATTGAGAACGTAAAGGTATTGGATATTTAATAATAACTTTAACAGTAAACTTATCATAGTATGTTACCAAAGTTTATACTGCTAGACTAAACTTCGCTAGTTCTCACGAAATGCACATGACCATACCAAACAAAAATATTTATATGTTCATCATGACTAACAGTCCTTTTTGTTTCAGTCTGTATTGGTACAAATGGACGATTGTCCGTTCCGTCAAATCGGGATCGTCATTATCGAAATCTCAAGGACCGCTACACCAACTGTACCTACGTCGATGGTAATCTCGAATTGACATGGCTCCAAGACCCAGATCATCACGACCTCAGCTTTCTTCAGGACATACGAGAAGTTACTGGTTACGTTCTCATCTCCCACGTCGACGTCAAAAAGGTAGTTTTTCCAAAGCTGCAAATTATAAGAGGAAGAAATTTGTTTTTAATGAGCGTAGCCAATCAAAATTTTTCTTTGATTGTGACGTTATCGAAAATGCAAACATTAGAATTACCAGCTCTAAAAGATATTTTAAGAGGCAACGTCGGCTCCTTTAATAACTATAATCTCTGTCATATCAAAACCATTAATTGGGCAGAAATCATTTCATACGGAAATTTCTCTTATATCTACAACTTCACTTCGCCCGAGAGAGAATGTCCTGCATGTGACAGAGAATGTGAATATGGATGCTGGGGAGAAGGAAAACACAACTGCCAACAATTCTCCAAAATCTTCTGCAGCCCTCAATGCGCTGGAGGTAGATGCTTCGGACCAAAGCCCAGAGAGTGCTGTCATCTTTTTTGTGCTGGTGGTTGTACTGGGCCTACTCAAAGTGACTGTATAGCTTGCGTAAATTTCTACGATGATGGTGTTTGTACGCAAGAATGTCCTCCGATGCAGATCTATAATCCTAGTACGTATTCTTGGGAGCCGAATCCTGCTGGAAGGTATGCGTATGGTGCCACCTGTGTTAAAAAATGTCCGGAACATTTGCTAAAAGACAATGGTGCTTGTGTGCGAATTTGTCCTCCTAACAAACACGCTAAAAACGGTGAGTGTGTTCCTTGTGAAGGACCGTGTCCTAAACCTTGTACATTCGACGGTACTATTCACTACGGCAACATTAATACTGTCAGGAACTGTACTGTGTTAGAAGGAAACATAAACATTTTACAAAATTCTTTAAACGGCTACCAGCATGTTTACGAAAATTTTACGTTTGGTGAAAGATACCCTCCTATGCATCCAAGTGCCTTAGAAGTGTTCAGTACTTTGAAAGAAATAACCGGATATTTAAATATACAAGCGTATCATCCAGATTTTAAAAATCTTTCGTGCTTCCGTAACTTGCAAGAAATCGGTGGACGGACTCTATACGAATATTCCACGTCGGTCTACATAGTAAAAACTTCTCTCGAATCATTGGAGCTCAGATCTCTAAAAACGATCAAAATGGGAACAGTGGCAATATTGGAAAATCAGCATTTATGCTTAACAGAAGGAATCAACTGGAAATCTTTACAGAAAAGCAACGAGAGCAATTTGATGTTATTTAATAATAGTGATCCCGAGAGTTGCCGAAAGAGAGGACTGGTATGTGATTCTCAATGTGATCACAGCGGTTGTTGGGGCCCAGGACCAGATCAGTGCCTTTCTTGTTTGAACTTCAGGCTTGGACATACGTGCTTGCAGAATTGCAATGTAAAACCTGGGTAAGTTTTTCTATTATTTCGTACTAATCCTAGATTACTAATTATCTTCTTCTTATGGTGTCTATCTATTCCGGATGTTGGCGATCAGCATAACTATCCTAATTTTAGTTGCAGCTATTCGGAATAATCCGGTTGTAGACGTATCGAACCACTTTAGGTTTTGAAGCCAAGATATCCTTCTTTTCCCTGGTCTTCTCTTTCCAAATACCTGAAGATGATCAGAAGAATGAGTTGCAATAAGCCATATCCGTGTTCATTTCTCATAACATGGCCAAGATATTCTAATTTGCGCGCTTTGATTGTGTTAGTGATCTCGCATTCCTTGCCCGTTCAACGTAGGTTATGTAGGTATGTTACTTGTACATATTTCTTCCAAGTTCTAGTCTCTCTTCCACACTTCGTTGTGGATTACCTTGTTTTTTTGCTAAATATCCAACTCTTCTAGGCTTGTATAAGCCTGCAGCTTCTTTAACTTTTTTGTGCATATTGAATGAATCGTGTTTCTGCTGTGTTTCAGCACATTGTTTTCTCAGTTGTGTGTTAACCATTCTAAAAGCTTTTTGATCTCTTTGTCTATTCTTTGAGAGTGTTCTCTCAAAGAATAGACAAAGTCTATTCTTTGAGAGAACACATATAATTACATACTCATAATTACAATCTCTTCTTCTGATACAAATTAACCCAATCGGTCTCCTCGCTCATTTCTTTCTCCAAGTCCAAACTGTCCTATGAATTCTCCTGATTATCTCCTATCAATCTGGGCATTTAAATCACCTATAATCAAGGTTAGATCCTTTTTGGAAAGGTGTTTCAAGGTGTTATATAATTCATTATAGAATGCTTCATTTATGGCGTCTAGTTTGTCAGCTGTAGAGGGATATACCTAGATAATGTTAGTTGTTATTGGGTAAGTATCAAGTTGTAGGAGGAGCATTCTTTCCGATATGGATACAAAGTTGTTAAGATGTTTGTCAGTTTCTTGATTTAAGATTATACCTACTCCATTTTCGTGTCTTCCGTTGGGATTACCTGAATAATATATTTGACGATTGTTACTTTCAAATTGCCCAGAGTTCGTCTATCTCATTCACTTATTTCCATGATAAAAAAAAGAGGTTAGTCTTCGTAAGTGGGTATATTTATTTAAAAATCCTTAAAAGGGCTACATAAAAACACCGAAAATATCAAAATACAGAGAGGAGTCCGCCAGGGTTGCGTGCTGTTCCCACTACTTTTCAATGTCTACAGTGAAGCGATATTTCAAGAAGGGCTCTCAGACTCAATAAAAGGTATATCTATCAATGGAGAAGTATTGAATAACTTACGTTTTGCAGACGATACAGTAATAATTACGGATAACAACAATGATTTACAGAACGTAATGCAACGCCTTAATGAACGCTGTCATGAGTACGGACTGAAGATAAATTTAAAGAAAACTAAATGCATGATCATGACTAAATCTGCACATGCAAATATCCAATTGACTATTGAAGATACTGCAATTGAGAGTGTTAATAACTATAAATACTTAGGAACATGGATAACATCAGATGTAGACCAAACCAAAGAAATTAAGACACGTATTGAAATAGCACGTACATCATTTATTAAACTTAAAAAGTTTCTTTGTTGTCGGGATATAAGATTAGAACTACGCCTGAGAATGCTTCAATGTTACGATGCTTCGATGTTATAAACAAGTTCATCTGAATAAGTTGGCCGCCTTTGAATTTTGGTGTTACAGAAGAATCCTACGAATATCATGGATTCAAAGAATGTCAAACATGGAAGTAACTAGAAGGATAGGAAATGAGGCGGAAATAATATTAACTATTAAAAGACGAAAACTTGAGTACTTGGGACATGTGATGAGAGGGCAAAAATACGCATTATTACAACTTATTATGCAGGGCAAAATCCGAGGAAAGCGAAATGTGGGAAGACGAAGAATATCCTGGCTTAAGAACTGAAGGGAATGGTTTGAATGCAGTAGTGCAGAACTTTTTAGAGCGGCAGTCAACAGAGTCCGCATAGCCATGATGATTTCCAACCTTCGATAGAAGATGGAACTTAAAGAAGAAAAAAAAAACAAACGTTTTCGGACTAAACAGTCCATCATCAGGTTTAAATTTTAAAATTGCCTAAAATAAGTATAAACCATTTAGATAAAACAAACATGGTTATGAAATTTTGACTATGGTTAAAAAGCAAGTCAAAATTTCATAACCACGTGTGTTTTAACTAAATGGTTTATACTTATTTTAGGCAATTTTAAAATTTAAACCTGATGATGGACTGTTTAGTTCGAAAACGTTTGTTTTTTTTATGTAGCCCTTTAAAGGGTTTTTAAGTAAATATACCCACTTACGAAGACTAACCTCTTTTTTGTGATACGTGGTATACAGCCAGCTACAGGAATTGTTTTCCTTGTGGATTTTATTTCCATGATGTCTACGATAGTTTACGGCCTCGTATATTGTTTTAACATTCCATATGCAGATCGTGAGCATATTCTTTACACCAGATTGGCAAGGATTTCGTCTGTGGGCCACCGAAGAGGGCTCGCCGTCTTGTGATTGTCCTTCTCTGCTGGATCTTTGTATCCGAATCCCATGATCAGTATTATCTTTTCTTTGACTAGTTATCCTATGGCTGATTATACTAAGGGTACTCTCTGAGTATTTAATGCCGTGATTCCCTACCTGCAGCCTAAAGAGCTGTTTTAGACCTTTTTCTTCAAGAATAAACTCTCCACTATTTCAGCCGTTGCCGTAAATCCCTTTTTTTCTACTATTTTCATCCGTACGAACATTCCTTTTCATCTTACAACTTAAATTATAACTTAACTTATAAATAACTTACAATATTCTTCTTCTTCTTTTGGCATCATAACCCTGAATGGGTCTTTGCCTGTCTGGCTATGTCCTTCCATTCAGATCTCTCTTGTGCCCTTCTTCTCCATTGTCTTATGTTCATTGTTTTCAGGTCGTCTTCCACGTCATCCAACCATCTCGTTCTGTGTCTTTTTTTCGCCTTCCTATGGGCTTCCATTGTAACATTTTCTTTGTTGTTTTTGCATGGTTTGTCTCTGCACATGTCCCAGCCATGACAGTCTTTGACTTTTCACAAATCTTACAATGTCATAACTTTCATTTAACTCATTAACCTCGTCGTTTCTCCTGATTCTCCATGTCCCATTTTCCTCTTGTACCGGGCCATATACTTTCCTCAGTATTTTTCTCTCGAATGTCCAGAGTTGGGCTTCATCTTTTTTCGTCATTACCCAAGTTTCACATCCATAGGTTACTACGGGTCTAATCAGTGTTCTGTAGATAGTCATTTTGGTTCTTTTGTCTAATAATTTCGATGTCATCAATATTTTATTAGCATAGTATGTACGATTCCCGCTGGAAATACGTGCATTAATTTCGCTACTTACGGAGTTCTTCTGATTGATTTCTGTGCCGAGATATGTAAAGGCATCCACTCGTTCGATAGTATAGTTGTCTATTGTGATATTATTTTCATTGTCAGTTATTCTTTTGACTGTCACATACTTCGTTTTTGCTTCGTTTATTTTGAGACCTCTTTTTCTTGCTTCAGGATCAATTTCTTTGAACACTTCCATTACTAGTGGCTTATTCCTACTAATGATGGCTACATCGTCTGCATATGCAGTAATTTGTACTGATTTGGTGTTTATATGGCCGGTTATATTGGTTTTTCTGATGACTGCCTCAAGAACTAGGTTGAATAGCATGGTTGATAGGGCATCTCCCTGTCTTACTCCCATGTTGATGTTAAACAGGGGAGTTAGTTCTCCATTTACTCTGACTGCGGCTTTTGAACCCTGCAACGCCATTTTTATGAGGCTGATGTATTTCTTAGGTATATCTAAATTACAAAGGTCTTCCAGCATTCTGTCTCTTTTCACACTATCAAAAGCTTGTTTAAAGTCCATATACATATTATATAAGTTTATGTGGTATTCACAAGCTTTTTCTTGTATCGTTCTTAGTATGAATATGTTATCTGTAGTGGCTCTATTTGGTCTGAATCCATTTTGATAATCACCAATTATATTTTCGGAGTATTCTAATAATCTATTGTAGATTATACCAGAAAGAATTTTGTATATTACATTTAGCAATGTAATTGGCCTATAATTCTGGCATTCCCTCTTATCTCCTTCTTTATATATATTGGCTGTATGAGGCCAACTGTGCATTCCTCTGGCATTTGCTCCTTCGTCCATATTAATGTTATTAGGTAATAAATTCTTTCCCAGAGTTCGGATCCTCCATGCTTTTCCATTGCTCCATGCAATTCTGCCGAGATTCCGTCCGTTCCTGGTGCTTTATTGTTTTTTAGTTTATTTATTATCTGAACTACTTCTTCATAACTCGGATTTTCCATGTGCAGCTCCGCCGTATAATATATTGTCTCATTCTGATCATTTTTGTTGTTTGCATTTAGATTTTTTTCGAAATATTGTTTCCATCTTATTATAATTTTTTGCTTCTCTGTTAGTAGTTCTCCGTCCTTGTCTTTGCATATCGTTAGTTTTGGTCTAAATGACTGTGTGCTTTCTTTTATGCATTTATAGAATTTTCTGCTTTCGCGTCTGTTGTTATGCTGTACAATTTCTTGTACTTGTTTTTTCATAACCTCTCTTTTCTTTCTTCTGCATATTCTAGTCGCTTGTATTCTTTTTTCGTTATAAATCTCACTGCTATTTCTTGTGTTTCTTTGAAGTTGGTTAAGCCTAGCTTGCCTTTTTTCCTCTACTGCAGTTCTGCATTCATCATCGTCATACCATTCCGCATTTCTTTGCCTTTTGGCTTTTCCGACAGTTTCCTCTGCTGACTCCGTTATAATTGTTTTTAATTGTCTCCATTCCTCCTCTGCAGTATCTTCCTCTCTAGTTCGGTTGAGTTTTATTTGGAGAGCATTTCTGTAATCTTGTCTCTTTGTTGAGCTTTTGAATCTTTCGACCTTCCATTTTTTGATTTGAATATTTTTCCCTTTTGCTACTGTCGCTATTTTCTGCTGTAATTTTGCCCCTACAAGATAGTGATCTGAGTCAGAGTTCGCCCCCCGATACGTTCTGACATTAGTTATGTCTGTTGCCCATCTTTTTGAGATGAGTATATGGTCAATTTGATTGGCTTCGTTAGTTATGGGTATTTTTCATGTTCCTTTATGGATATCTTTTCTCTGGAAGTTAGTACTGACAACTACGTAATTATTTGCTGCTGCGAACTGTGCTACCCTGAGTCCATTTTGACTGGTTTCAGTGTGCAAACTGTGTTTCCTAAATATATTTGCAAACGTTTCTTCTTTCCCCAGTTTAGCATTAAAATCGCCTAACGTTATAACAGCATCGTGTCTTTGGATTTTATCACATACAACCTGTAGTTCTCCGTAGATATAAACTTACCATATAAACATCTTAAATTGTAATATTTATTACTGACTTGAATTAAAATTTTACCAACTTAAATTATAATGTATATCTTTAACAGACTGGATATTTTAAAAAAAATCTCTTTTCCTTTTAGACTCTATCGTGCAAGTATGAACGAATGCAAGCCTTGCCACGAACAGTGCGGCTACTCTTGCCACGGACCTGGAGCAGATAACTGCACGTCATGCAAACATCTCCGCGACGGCAACTTCTGCGTATCCAAATGCATGAGGAATAAATACGAGCAACATGGCCTGTGTCAACAATGTAACGAGAATTGTGTTGAAAGCTGCACAGGACCTTCGAGTACCCTGGGACGAGGAGGTTGTGATGCCTGCGAGCTGGCTATAGTAAAGGAGAATACCTATGTGTGTTTGAATAGGACTGACACTTGTCCAGATGGTTATTATTTCGAATATATTGGACCACATTCTATGGAAGGATCTAATCCGAATACGACGGCAGTTTGTAGAGGATGTCATCCTAGGTAAGTTTCAATCCAAATTATTTTAAATAGTTTGAACAATACAGTTTTTCAAATGAAAATTTGTTCAAATTATATATTTGAACATACATGACTTGTGGTGAGAGTTGGTGCCTGTGTTGGCTACTTGACACTATTTCCAAACAGTGTTAAAATTGCAATTGGCTCTGGAACTTGTCTTTAGGGATCTCCCTGACAAAAATGTCGTACGACATTGTTATTATTGTCATCTGTGTGTGCCGAAGACGAACCCTCACCACCTCAATGCTCCTCAGATGCTCCACCTCTCAAAAACGTACTGTTTCTTGGGGAACTAATAATTTGTGTAAATGCTTTGGATAATGGGACATTTACGTTTTTTTTTTGGGTAAAGGGGGCGCTTTTTCCCCTCTTCTTCCTATATGCTGTGCCGCGTTGTGTATGTTCGTATGTTGAACCGTCGCTATGGATGAATTCTCGAGGTGTGTACTTCTCTGTAGTGCGGTTTATGGATTGTTTTGAGATTTTTTGGTCGACTTTCGCCAGTTCTTATATGTTTTTGTGTGATTTTCTTGGATTTTAGTAACTTTTTGTTTGTTTTTGAAGATACTAATGTCTATTCAATAGAGTGACTTGAACTTACCAATTACTTAAATATATTTGTCTTGTCATTTTTTGTTATATCTCCTTAGTGGATGTTTTGACCCTAAAAATTTGTTCTTGTCATTTATATTGTAACCTAAAGCTCTGAGTATTATAATAAGTGGTGGGTCAGATCATAAATATGTGGTTTGCCCAGTCGCTTATCGTTTTAAGCACTTTGTTTTGCTTGGAATTTCTATACAGGAATCTATCCACTAAGAAATTGGGTATTTTTGCTGCTGCTCTCAAGGCATTTGTTCTGATCAATTTGGATCTTTCTTCTGTATGTTTTTCAGGCGTGGTGTATGAGTGTAGGTGTAATAATGCTGGTTATCAATTTAGCTTTGGTTTTAAATGATCATTTAGTTCTTCCAGTTAATCCTTAGAGCTTTACTTGAATCTGCTTTGCTTTGCTTGCAGCGTTATTTACATGAAATGTGAATTTTCCCTGTATAGAGTGACTTCCAAATATTTAGCTTCGTTGGTCCGTTTAATTTTGGAGTTAATATTTTTTGTGGTGTTAGCTGCAAATTTTCTCTTCTTTTTGAACATTACGACCTTGGATTTGTTAGGATTTACTGGAATCTTCCACTATATGCACCAATTTTCCAGCTCTGATATTTTTTATATCTAATTGTATGTCTAGCTAGTTCAAATGAATGAATAGTGTTTATTTATAAATTAATCAGACTTTAACTGGGCACAGTATGTTAGACTAGTTAGAGTGTGTTAGACTAGTTATCTAATATTATCTATCTTTGTCTTGAAGTGATGTATCCGCTTAGACAATCGTAAATGGCCTTTTGATCCTGGTTTCTTCTTCTTAGAGTGCCGTCTCCCTACGGAGGTTGGCAATCATAATGGCTATTTTTATTTTAGAACTTGCTGCTCTAAACAAATTAATCGATCTGCATTGGTACCAATCACGTAGATTCTTTAACCATGAGTTCTGCCTTCGGCCAACAGATCTTCTTCCTTGAATTTTTCCCTGTATTATCAGTCTCAAAATTTCATATTTTGGTCCCCTCATCACGTGGCCTAGGTATTCCAGTTTTCTGGTTTGTATAGTGGTGATTAGTTTTGTTTCTTTACCAACCCTCTCCAGTACTTCTTTATTTGTAATTCTATCAGTCCATGATATTTTCAATACTCTGCGGTATAACCAGAGTTCGAAGGCCTCGATTCTTTTTAAATTACATTTTTTTAATGTCCAAGTCTCAGCTCCATATAATAATATTGAAAATATATAACAGCGAATGGTACGTAGTCTGATCTCCAAATTTAGATTTTTGCACGTTAGGAGTGGCTTCATTCGGATAAATGCTGATCTGGCAATTTCGATTCGTCTGTTTATTTCTACAGTATGATCATTGGTTTCATTGATCAAAGTTCCCAAATACTGATATTTTTCTACTTGTTCTATCACGTTACCATTTATTGTCAATAGGTGATGTATATTTTTTGGCCTTTTTGTAATCAGCATGTACTTCGTTTTTGCTTCGTTGGTCCATTTAATTTTAGAAATTTTTTTGAGGTAATAACTGGGAATTATCATTTCTTTTTGAGCATTACGAGCTTGGATTTGTCAGGATTTACTCCAATCTTCCACTATATGCACCAATGCTCCAGCTCTTATATTTTTTGTATCTAACTGTATGTCTAGTTAGTTCAAATTAATGAATATTGTTTATTTATAAATTAATCAGACTCTAACTGTATGTATTGATTGTGTTAGACTAGTTATCTATCTTTGCCTTGAAGTGATGTATCCGCTTAGACAATCGTAAATGACCTTTTGATCCTGGTATAAGTTAGCAATAAATCCTACATCTTGTTGCTCAATGTTGCAGCATTCAGTACTTTCATCAGTCTTCTGTGCCTAACTGTGCCAAATGCCTTCTTTAAATTTAGAAATCATATAAAAATCTTACTAACTCTTAAATTGGCCTTATGATGACTTATCTCCAGACATTTAGCACTTTCATTTATTGGCAGATGAATAAAGGTAAATTCCAAGTAATCGTTCAGAATCATGTCAGTATTATAAATAACGTTGAAGGGTAATCGGTTAATCTTCTTTGGGTGCCGTCTTCAATGAAGGTTGGCGATAACCTCAGCAAAATCATTTCTGTCCCTGGCTTTTCTTATTAAAGATTGAGAATCCAAACCAGTCCACTCACGAATGTTCTTCAACCAGACCGCCTGCCGTCTACCAGGACCACGTTTTCCTTCTACCTTCCCTCTATAAGAAGCTGCAGTAGCTGGTATTTCTCATTTCTGTATATGTGTCCCAAATATGAGGTTTTCCGTGTTTTCATTATTTGTAAGAGTTCTCTGTCGGTACCCATCTTGTGTAGGACCTGCTCGTTGCTCATATGCGCTGTCCAGGGACTTTCAGCATCCTTCGAAATAACCACATTTCAAAACTTTCCAAACGCCTGAGTGAGTTGATTTTGAAGGTCCAGGCCTCCATTCCATATAGTAAGGTGCTGTAAACGTAACATTTCAGCATTCGGTATCGGATTTTGAAATTGAGTGTTTGGGACGTAAACATTTGTTTCATTTTTAAAAAGACATTTCTTGCTTGTTCAATTCGCGATTTTATTTCTATGTCTGGATCTATATCTTTCGTTATCCAGCACCCTAGATATCGAAATTTCTCGACATTTTCGATAATGTTACCATTCACGTTTAAAGCCATGGGTGGATGGATGGATGTTTTGGAGACAATCATTGTTTTTGTTTTCTTGACGTTAATGCTGAGGCCGTATTGTTCTCCGATCAATCTGACGCGATCTAAGAGTGTCTGGAGATCCTGTGCGCTCTCTGCAATTAGGACCGTGTCGTCGGCGTATCGTACATTATTTAGAACTCTGCCGTTAATTTTAACACCTTCTCTTGATTGCTGAATCGGTTAATACGACGTTCTATTTCATTAGTTTAAAGAAGTTGTATAGTCTGTCTGTATTATACTGTTTTATCATTTTTACCTACTCTTTGTGATTGATGCTCACGATGAAAAAGTTATTCTGAATTTTTCATCTAATAAGTTTTTATTTTGTTTTAATATGATCTATAAACAAAACCCTCTGCAATTAATAAAGTTAATTTGATTTGTAATTATATTAAATTCCAATATTAGTAAAAACTATCAACTATATTGAGTTTTTGTTTTAAAAATATTTTTTGTTTTCGACAAATCATTAATCTTATATTTTTATTAAACATAATTTTATTTTTAGATGTAAAAAGTGCACTCAATTTGGATTCCACAAATCAATCTGCCAAGAATGTACTCATTTCAAGAAAGGTGAGCAGTGTGAAGATGAATGCACTCCAGATTACTACCCAGATATATCTAAAAACGAATGCATCGCTTGTGACAAAGAATGTAGGGGGTGCACTGGACCAGGCAATGACAATTGTATTGAGTGTCATAACTTAAAACTCTTCCCAGATGGTAACATCGATATGAACAGTACCAAGTTTGCGTGTGTTTCCGTTTGTCCATCAGATTTTCCCTATAAGGTATATCCAGAAGAAGGTCATGCGTATTGTTCTGACATAGCAAGTAGTTCTCTACTATCTTCTCCTAAAAATACTTTTGAGATCTTGATTATTGTGGTTGGAGTTACTGTGGGCCTTACCATATTACTAGGACTTATTTATGCATTTTGCTACTACCAACGTAAAGAAAAAATCAAAGAAAATGCAATGAAAATGACCCTAGCATTAACTGGTTTGGAAGATAACGAACCGTTGAGGCCTACTAACGTAAAACCCAACGTAGCAAAACTAAGAATAATAAAAGAAACGGAACTCCGAAGGGCTAATGTTCTTGGTTACGGAGCTTTTGGTAAAGTGTATCAAGGAGTTTGGAATTTGGAAGGAGAAAACTCAGCTAAAATTCCAGTGGCAATAAAAGTTTTACGAGAAGATACTGGAGCAAATACTAGTAAAGATTTCTTGGATGAGGCTTATATTATGGCAACAGTAGATCATCCCAATCTCCTGCAACTACTTGGAGTTTGCATGACATCACAGATGATGTTGGTAACACAGCTAATGTATTTGGGCTGTCTTCTAGATTTTGTACGAAACAATCGGGACAGAATTGGTTCAAAAGCTTTGTTAAATTGGTCTACGCAAATTGCTAGAGGAATGGCGTATTTGGAAGAAAAACGTTTGGTCCATAGAGATCTTGCAGCTAGAAATGTTCTTCTTCAAACACCCGGTTGTGTAAAAATAACTGACTTTGGCTTGGCCAAGCTCCTAGATATAAACGAAGAAGAATACAAAGCCGCTGGCGGCAAAATGCCTATCAAATGGTTGGCCTTAGAATGTATTCAACATCGAATATTTACCCACAAATCTGATGTTTGGGCGTTCGGTGTTACGGTTTGGGAATTGCTAACTTTTGGTGAGCGTCCTTACGACAATGTTCCTGCTAGAGATGTACCTGAATTATTAGAAAAGGGGGAGAGGTTGCCTCAGCCCGAAATAGCTAGCATCGAAGTTTATATGATATTGATAAAGTGCTGGATGCTAGATGCGGAGAGCAGACCTTGCTTTAAGGAGTTGGAAGATGATTTTTTCAAGATGGCCTTAGATCCTGGAAGATATTTGGCAATACCTGGAGATAAATTCATGAGGCTGACAAATTTCCCCAATCAACAGGTAAATATAATTATTTAACCATTTTTTTTATTGTTTATATATAATTTTTACAGTATATATTTAAATTTTATTTTCATCTATATTTCTTTATTATATTTAAATGTACCTGTTTCATCATTATGGTTTCCATATCTTCTTCGACGTTATCAGTGAATCTTTTTCTTCCTCTTTCTCTGCTTATTGAGTCTATCAATGAGTGTTCTTACTAGATCATTTTGCTCCACATATGATCTTTATTGACTGTTCCGTAAATTATCTCCATTGCATGACCCTCAAAACACTCCAAAACTATTTTTATTGCTTTTTGTTCAGAATAAGCATCTGAGCCGTACATTGATTTTTTGCGTCTTTAAGGGGAATCTGCATGCAAATATCTGTGACCAAGGTGGTGTTAAGTTCCTAATACCGTAACGAAGTATTTCCATGACAATCGTAATGTCACCTTTCCGAGACTGTTGGCACCCAACTAAAAATCTCTTATTTGTCACTGCAAACATCAGGATGAAACCGCCGGTTAAGGTATAATATCTCTTCTGATGCGCTGCTATCCCCCGATTTCCATTTTTCCTATCACACATTCATCGAGAAAACCACACCTAGACAAACCACCAAAGAGTTCAACCCCCTGCCTTAGCAAGGATGCTATTTCCAAAACAGTCAAGACCACCACTCATCTTTAATTATTTTTTCCACCATTTTCCAATATTCTACAATTATCTCTCTTTCAAACTTCTCCCTTTCACACGCCCACCGTTCGCATTCCATCACAATGTCATATCGCAGTCATTCGTACTTTAACAGTGTTCGCAGTACCACAGTACTTAAGGAGATTCCACACAGAAAAGAAACTGGGCAGTCTGTACCCTTCTGAACCTGAAATGGTAGCAACGATCTTTGCAGGTTTCGAATTAGTGACTTCCACATCACGAATTGCCTCCCTTTCTTCCTGCCACCGATCGATTAAAACTATTCTCTTGACCAGCCTTATCTCACTCATCTCTCCCCCCTCTGTTACCCTATGACTATAAACCCTGACACTCTCACCGCCAAGACCTATGAGGGAACACAGCCGGTGACCATTCACAGAGCAGCAGCACGTGTGTCCGGATTTGGGCCCATCGATATGATCATTATCTCCAGCTCAGCCATTCTCTGAATAGCTCTGCAAGTCACTCTCTGCAAATGTTCCTCCCAACCTGAAGAGTAACTCGCAGTAATACTAACGTACTTGGGCATTACTCTCGCTCACGCGCACTCAAATACTACATCTTCTCTCTTCCTGTTGCTTCTAAGTACTATGTACAGCATTAGTCTTAGTGAGAGCGCCCACCAAAGTGGCGTGGCACGTAGCAAGTGGCAAGTAGCACGCTTCTAGCATGTTTCTTAAAATCTAACCAATGAAAACGAATGATTCAGCGTACACCAAAATGACAGTGACGTCATTCATTCTAATCATTTGTTTTCATTGGTTACATTTTAAGAAACATGCTAGACGCGTGCTACTTGCCACGCCACTTTGGTGGGCGCTCGCCCTTAAACAAGAGCTCCTTGCTGTCCCGCACAGCCACCAACATAGCGAGATCGTCCACGAATACGAAGGGGGGAACGAAGAGGGGAATACTTAAGTTTTCGTATATCTCAGGCTTTCTTAGCCTTGTTCTTTTTTTCCAGGTTTCTGTTGTTATTAATATATTTTCTTTTCGTTAGGTTCCTGGATAATCTCATTTATCTTTTCTATATCCACTATAAGTTCCATGTACAATGTTATGTTATACCTGTATTCGCTATCTGTTTCCTTTGCATCGTTTTTGGTCTTCAGTTTTGATTCTGGGATGTGTATTGGCTGTTTGGACAATGGTTCTTTTTACAAGAATCGGTCGTCGGCCTGTTTGTCAAATTTCACTGTGGTACTTGCTAACAGCTACTCAAATCACCCCAAAACTAAAAACTTTAATCAATAATATGTATCTGGTTATGCAACTTTTAAACTAATGCCCACATTTTATTACTTTCAGACCGACAGAGAAATTGTAAGAAGTCTTGCCTCAGTGATAGAATCCTCCGAAGGTACGTTTGAAAATGATGAAAATCTCCGACCCAAATCACGTGCCCCTTTGAATGCCAGTGGTCTAATAATACCCTCAATGTCGCCATCCCCAAGTAACAACAGCTATTGGCCTTCTGCTCAACCGATGACATCTGATGGAAGTACTTCGCAGTATCAAAATCATCTGAATCAAAAGTTGTTGCGGTATGCACAGTCACACGGATTCGACTCCAGTATTCCGACTCAGTCTGATGCCTCAAGCATTAAATATTGTGGGAATTCTCTTAAACTAAGGGATGATATCGGTTCTGATGAATATGATTCAGTTGCGAGATCACAAGCTAAAGTAGGAACCTTGAAATTGGACCTTCCAGTTGACGAAGACGATTACTTGATGCCTTCGCCGCAACAGACTCAAGGAAACACTACTTATGTCGACGTAATCGATACCAAAAATGCCGACCATCCTACCCAAACCCCCTTCACTAATTACCAAGATCTCTATAAGAACAATGTCGACAATCCTGAATATTTGATGAACAACGATCCTCCCAGTCAAACCGTTGGTCTTCCTACAGTGTCAGAATTCGTTTCCTCCGGCAATTTTGACAAAGCCTCTGGGTTCATGCCCCCTCCAGCGTACTTACCTCAGAAATCAGAAGAGGAATCTGATCATGAATATTACAACGATTTCGATAGGCTGCAAAGAGAGTTGCAACCTCTTCAGAGAAATAAGGATGGATCTATTGTTTGATTTTCGGGATTATCTGTTGTACATCGCACAAAACTTAATGTACAAAACTGTGAATACAAATTCAGTAAAACTGAAGCTATTGGAGTACTGTTCAGTTTAAATCTAATGAGAAATATGATTTTTTTATCCACAGAAGAAAAAGAAACTAGTGTGGTTTTTAAAGATTGTATAAATCGATGATCTGCAGAATCCTTTTATGTCATGGTTACGTCTGTATCAATTACCTATTCTAAGAAGAAATGCTGCCAAATTTTGTACTTTTATCTGTCAGAACCTATTCTTGTATATCTTGTTCTTCTTTTAGTGAAATAAAAGCGGGAATCTTAAGTCACCGTGCTATACTACGTTGTATATCACACGTAGGTGTATGTGTATATAGCAACGTACACACGTTGAAAACCCAGCACTTTTCAAAGTCTGGTATTCTATATTACCATGACTTTCGTGTTTATCTTCAACCGGGGCTCGAAATGTGAGTTCATTAAATTGACAAAACAACTTTGCACAACTTGCCATAACTTTTATTAGTTCATCACGTAACTTCGAGCATCTACTATCAGAGACAGCCTCTTTCTGAGTGCGAGACATGAACCAAGGTTAAATATCTGCAAGATCGATTTTATTTGAACGAAACAGTACCTCAATTAATATGTTAGTTTTATTGACTCTTTTTAGATCCTTAAGGCCTTTTGTACTTTCATTTTGGAGGCAAGGCTGTGGTAAACGATCGTTTTTATGATACTTAATTAGATTTAGGAATCGTTTAACTGTAATGTCAAAACTTTGACAATAACTGAGTGCCATGGAAATGGCGTAATTTATGTACATAATTTTGCATGAACTTTATCCTTTTTCGGAGACAGGAAATATTGTTATAAATGAGCGGAATTTTATGAAATGTTTTATATTTTATGATTTTAAATTCTACGTGATTGTGATTTTATAATTATTTCGATATTATGTTTAGAAAATGTAAGGGAGGTTGTAAACTTTGTTTTTTTGATATTATTATAATCTTTGTTTTCTTCTATTATAGTACAAGATTCCTCTGCAGGATCACTACGTTCATAACGCATTAATTAAACTCACATATTTACATACATTTAAAATTAGAAGAATACCTTGATAATAGGTTGCCAGTTAAAAACGTGGCAGCAAATACTTTAAATTCAAATAATAGTACATAATTTCTAACCAAAATTGTATTTCGTTCATTTATTAAAAAAAAAGACGCTGTCTATGTCGTTTATGCATATTTTTTTTTATATTTATTTAAAGCTAATGTTTTTCTTAAGAACTGGACACCCTAATTTGCGACCATTTTTTTGTCAGCAAACTTTATATCATCATATTAAAAAATTAGATTTAATATGATATAAAAATTATGCATAAACGTTATGAGCAGCGTTATTTAAAAATATATGAATGAAATTTTTGCTGGATAATTAATTACTATTAATTGATTAAAAATATTTGTGGCCACTTTTTGACTGGCAACGTATTATCAATGTATTCTTCTAATCTTAAATGTATGTAAAAATGTAAGTTTGATTAACTAGGTTATGAAAGTAGTGATCCTTCAATGGGATTTTAGACTATAACATTTATCGCTTAAAATCAATAATTCTTTAGACAATTTTGTATATACCTAACCGTATATGTATATTAAAAATTATTGATTTTAATTATACAGGTTTCTATTCTGCTGTATAGTTTTGAAATTGACCATACATGCATCTGTAGTTATTAACAGAGTTGTTTCAGATTCGCTAATGGTGCATTTACCCCCATTAATCTTCGCTCTAGCGAAATGATTGGAAGATTGGCGTTCATTCAGTGACTAGTCTACGAAGTGTTAGTGCTAGGCTGCTATCCTTTTAAAACTAGCCCAAGTAGATAATTATTAAGTAGCTCAAATATATGAAGGTGACATATTCTTCTTCAATAGATGTTTTTCCTCGTTAATAAGCGAATCGCCACATACCGCGCAATAACTTACTATTTTTGTTGTACTCGAACGAGGTGACAAGTGTAAAAAACAATCCATCATCCGTTTCAGCTATGTTGATATTTAGAACGCTACAAACATCTTTACAATCAAAAACGAAAAGAAGGTAAAAATATATCGTATATATGGATATATCCGGGATTACTGCACCTGTGGCTGTCTTCCTGTATTCTTAACACTTGTCGCCATGTATCTCTGTTCTGCGATTCTCCGTTCTTTAAGTGTCTCTTTCAATTAATTTCTCCAAGACCTCTGCCTTTTTTCTCCTCCAAATGGGACTCCAATCATTTATTTTTGACATCCACCTATTTCTATCTGTTCTTAGGACCTGCCCATACTAATTTATTCTTTTTTCTTCTATATAATCTGGCACATTCTTAGTTCCCCCCATTTTCCTTTTAATTTCCTCGTTTGATTTTATCCATTTTTGTAACTCTGCAACTCCTTTTCCAATATTCCATTTCTGTGGTCATCAACTTTATTTTGCTTTTTTTGGTTTAGTATCTCTATATCTGCCTCATAAATCATAATGCTACAGATTATTGAGTGGAAAATTTTTTTTCGTATTCTTTGTGATTTGGCTGTCTCATATTACCGCATTTGACTGCTTGATTACATGTCCTTGTCTAGCCCAGTCGATTTTATTTCTTCGGTTGTTTCATTGCTTCAAAATATAAATCGTACTTAAGCTTGTTTGCCTCTTTCCTGGTTTCCTGAAAATTTATAGACTATTTTTCGAGTAATTTTTTTCAGTTATCTCTCAACAAAACTTAACTTATCCCCATGTTCTGTCATGACCACCTGATCGTCTGCAAAGTTTAATGTGTATAAGTGTCAACTCTTGGAGGGCTAGACGAGCAACTAGCAAAAAAACTTCTTTTACTGCTAAGCATTTAGTCATAATGTTGCCAATTCTTTTTTTGGCAACATTATGACTAAATGGCTACATTATGACTAAAAATTGGCAACAAAGAGCACAAAATCGTGAGGATTGGAGGAGTTTAAGGGAGGCCTATGTCCAGCCGTGGACGTGATAAATAGAGGCTGGATGCTAAAACGCAATCACCATCTGCTGCTACAAATTAGACTTCTGAAATCTAGATTTATGAAAATATATTACTAGATTTATGAAAAAGATTAAATTTTTCACCGAAATTAACAGCAGTTCGTCAGTTCACAGAAAACTAGAAAAGCTGCTGCTTTCATGAGGTCGCAATTAGACTAATATTTTAGTCAGTATATCATATTTTTTGACATGGGTAACTATCATACCCTGTACTGAGTTTCTTCCAAGTTACTGACGAATATTGTTATAAATAACTCTTACTCATATGCAGCAATGTCCGCGCTGTAATAATATTTATATTCACACCTCTCTTGCATTGCACAATTCTATAACTTTGTTTAAAAGTTGTATATTTTACATGTTTTAAATATTAATTTTAATGCCAGTCTCGAATCTAATATTTCCTGTAATCCTATTGTATATAATTGTAGTAATTCGAGGGTGAGTTATTCGGGGAAAAGTGATGCCAATCCTAAATATTCTTGCCCAGCCTATCTGTGATAAAACTTAATTTAGCTTACCGAGTGTATAGAATAAGTAAGGTTATTGAGAAATATATAAAAACGTACAGTTGGAGCTCATTTTCTTGACACAGTATATCTTTAAATCTAGATTGAATAAAGTAATGAAAATGCAGTATAAGCTCTTTCTTTTCCAAGCATTTTTTTAATGCGTTTAGTTGTAATTTCTTTGTTTGGAGTTTTTTGCCAATCTTCTGAGAAAATCGATGTTTGATCCACGCCATATTTGGCGTCCTGTTCAGCGATTGAGTTGGCAAAAACATTTGAGCTTTTAACAATAACATCTAAAATAAACATATTTTTTTGTAGATCTTTTTAGTATATTTGTTTGTTCATTTTAAATTATTTACCTTATTTTTCCAATTTCAACCTTTTTATAATAAACACCGAATATATTGTTGATTATTGTGGAAAATGAGCTGAAACTGACGTTCTTTAAGAAAATGTTTAGCACAAGTTACATCATGTTAGATTTTATTTTTGTCGAATAATAGAACCAAATCTCAGCGAAAATCTCATTTGTACGTAATTTTTGTATAGGAATAGTAAGAAGGGTTTTCAAAAATGTTATTACTTATTTTTTGTTATTAGCACTAAAACTGTGCCATTTTCTACAAAAAGTGCCTTGTAATTTTATCAGACATTTCCATATTAGTACATTTATAAAGATTTTTAATAAAACCTATATTTTAAAAATAAGATATGTCTTTTATTTTCTTTCTAACTTGATTTAGACTTATTTTTCTTTGTTGCTCGCAAAACCTTTAGATGTACAATATATAATACTGATACTACTCATAATGTGTAATGCAAGGAAACACTATCTAATGTAGGGAGGATATCAACTTAGACGTGAACATCGAAATTATTCAACGTGGAATCAAAACCGAAAAATTAAGAAAGCATATATATAAGAGAGAGAGAGAGAGAGAGAGAGAGGGAGAGAGAGAGAGAGAGAGAGAGAGAGAGAGAGAGAGAGAGAGAGAGAGAGCCTCTGCCTCAAGTTGTCGATGTCGGTTCTCTTATCATTACCCAGAGGCTTTGTCTTAGTAAGTTTTGACGTAGTTTCCTTGTTCACGAATCTTCCACTTTCCAGTGTATTAACTTCTCTCCCTAACCATTGGAATTCAACCCCACAGTCCGATATCTTGGGAAGCTTTTTCCGAATTATTAAAATTGATTTTTGATACTAATTATTTAATTTTCAATGACAAATATTATCGCCAAATTTTTTGAACTCCTATGGGATCCACGATTTCCCCTATTCTAGTCAACTTTCTACTAGATGATCTTATTAATGAGAGTATCAAGAAGTTAGATTTTCAGGTTCCCTTTGTAAAAAGGTATGTCGACGATCTGATTTTAGCAACTCCGTCGGATAAGGCGGTGGACACCTTATCAGTTTTTAACTGCTTTGATCCTCACCTACAATTTATATGTGAACTTGAGGTTGATAACAGTATCCCGTTTTTATACATGCGAATTATTCGCATAGCGGATAACAGATTAGTCACTACCTGGTGCAGAAAAGAAATGGCTAGCAACCGTTTCTTAAATTACCATTCGACACACCCAATCAGATATAAACTTAACCTGGTACAAGTCCTCAGCCTTAGAGTACACATGTTGACACACCCGCTTTACAAAGAAGAATCTCTCGATCTACTGAAGTCCATTCTCATAGATAACTCCTATCCGGCATCCATCATCAATAAATTTCTATAATTCAAAAGCTATGGACAGTCTATTACTGAAATACCCAACTGTCTAATATTAGAGTCCATATCTAACAAACTACAGACGAATAAGTCCCCTCTCACTCCTGAACAAAGCAAAAAATATGCTTCGCTCTCGTACTTCCCACAAATCACTAACAAGCTTAACAAACTTTTCAAAAACTTACCTGTCAAAATATCCTTAAAAAATACCAGAACCTTAGGAAAGTTATTTTCTAAGACAAAAACTCCATTTGCCCCTCTAGAACAAACTAATGTCGTCTATCATGTACCCTGTTTAGAGTGCAACTCCTGGCTACATTGGTCAGACCAGCCGCTCTCTTCAAGGTCGACTAACACACAAAAGCGACATTAGGATTTCTAAACCATCTTATGCCCTTGCACAACATGCCATTTCAACCAAACACAGTATCGACTTCGCGAATACCAAAATACTGTGCAAACAAAAAAATTTTCATAAGCGATCCATCCTTGAAATGTGTCAAATTGTATATATATATATATATATATATATATATATATATATATATATATATATATATATATATATATATATATATATATACCTTTATGGAATTGCTATTAGAGGCACACCAAATCACAGCTCTTACGAAGCTATTCAACAACGTCTACGAGACTGGTTACTTACCGAAAGACTGGCTACTATCAATATATTAATTCCACTTCCTAAAAAAATGTGAAGAACATAGATTAATTAGTTTGACCGTTGTTTGACGAGCCATGTACTTAAAGTACTCCTTACTATAGTTCACTCGCACAGATACACCAAATTAGAAGAACACCTGAGTGAAGATCAATTTGGATTCAGAGCAGAACTCGGAACGTGGGAAGCACTTTTTAGTTTGCAAGTCAGGAGAGCCAGGGATGTCAACTGCGATGTGTAGGCACGTTTCATTGATTTCGAGAAGGCATTTGATAAAGTCCCTCATGGGAAACTAATCGATATCTTGAAAACATCAGGACTCGGTGGTAAGGATATAAGACTGATCTGAAACTTATATCTCCAACACAAAGCAACAGTATGATTAGAAAATGATCTTCACAGTCAAAAACGGAGTTAGATAGGGTTGGATATTATCACCGGCATTATTTAACATATACTCCAACAACATCTTTAGAGAGTCCTTGGACCAATCAGAAGATGGGTTTGCTGTAAATGTCCAACTTACAAACAACATTAGATATGCAGACGATAGAGTGTTGCTGGCAGACAGTGCGCAGGGGCTCCAAACGATGATGGATAACGTTGTAGAAGTCTGTGACAAATACAGCCTAAAATAAATTGCAAGAAGACAAAAATAATGATCATTAGTAAGAACACCAGTATTAGTAAGAAAACATTCCCAAAAAGGTGATTCAACAGACATTTATCTCTGCATTATACCAGCGCTGGAACAGATTTTTTCACTATATTTTTGATGAAAATATTATAACTCTGATCACCAAACAGACAAATGCATAAGCACATATTTTGCGAACCGAAAGGCCAAGTTATTCTAAATGGCAAGATCTCACTCCACAGAAAATGTACTCTTTTTTGGCACTGTGTATTTTGATCGGTATTGTTGAGAAACCACGCCTGTCAGATTACTGGTCAACAAATCAAATAATTTCTACCCCATTTTTTAATCAAGTTTGTCCTCGGGATAAATTTTTATTGACACTAGGTGCCCTTAGATTATCGCTTATAGAACAAAAATCGCTCTTAGTACTTTAGAGTTTAGATATACAAGAGACGTAACAAATGTAAAAAGATACAACATTAGATTACCTAAAAAGTATCCTATTATTTTTTTTACTAGCCTTTAAACATAAGGAAAAGAGCTGTAGATAACTATATAGGGACACAAATATTCTTAACTAGGTTTTTGGCGTTATTGTAATCATGCATACAAAACGGTTGAATCCATAGTCATTCATTTATTTATGTAATTTGACAATCCTCATATTATTACGCCAAGGATACGTCGCTGACACCGTCATTATTGCACGATGAAATTTTCTTAATATCATTTATAAAGAAAAGGAAACTAAATTTTACACCATCGCAATAGATGGGAGCTTACTTCTATGGAAAACAAGTTTCCATACTCTGTTTTTAACTTCAATAATAAACTTATCTGGAAATTACATAAAAAAGCGACGAAAAGCAAGACCACAAAAGTCCTTCTAGTATTCATAACCTTTGCAGAAAAATGTTATGATAGAAGCTAGATCCTTTATAATTTGCATTTAGGCATAATCAGAGAGTGTTTCTATTTAGTTTCGGAGTCTTCACAAGTAACCTTGTTGAGTGGTAAACCACGAAATACGTATAACAGAATGGTGAGACTCAAATTTAAAAGAATTTTCACTTTGAAATGATGGTGGTTTGCACTGATAAACTGCTAATGTGTTGTCGGAATAAATATATTGCTAACGTCGACCGGTTGGTTTTTAATAAGCTTATTCTAATGATTTCTATATAGACAGCGTTTATGTTCATAGAGTCTTCACAAGTCTCCCTAATTAGTGACAAACCACGAAATACCTATAGAGGAATCTAGTGGTTTTTTGTAAACCTTATAAAACCCCTATTTATACCATTGCCTCTCCAGCTTTAGTAAAAACGGTTTAATTACTCTGTTTCTTCAAGTCACCTTGGAGTTGTTTCTCCAAATCTCCAATTTACCTTCCAAAGATGCTAAAATTGATAGACAATCTGAGAGGAAAGCCCTGAAAGAACTTCAGTTACACCAAGTCTGGTTATTCTTCCCGCCAATAAAGGAAATGCCACCGTCATCCTAAATACTTCTTTCAACATTAATAATCTCTCAAATCTCAATAATACTCCAGGCTACAGATCAATTCCTAATAATGAAACAACCTATCGAGACAAAACAACAAAAGCCATCATCGAGAAAACCTTTCTTCCTGTTGACATAAAACTCTAATTCTTCGCGAAAAGTCTTCTAGAACAGCTCGAATATATATGGCCTACCCATAATTCACAAACGCGATATTCCTTTATGTCCCATTGCCAGTGCATACAACTGCCCTACATAACCAATGACCAAGTACTTGACCAAAACACTACAACCTCTCTCCGAAAATGCTTTAACCGTTTGTCAATTTTTTAAATTTTATTGAACTTCTTAAACAATACCCTATCTCACTGTCAGACATTCTAGTAAGTTTCGACATCATTTTACTCTTTACAAACATTCCTATAGACGAAACCCCAAACATTCTGGAAACTAAATACAACATCCAGCAAGACCATTAATCTCTCATTAAACCTTGTATGTCCAACACTTGTTTCATCTTCCAAAATGAATTATAGATAAATAAATGGTGCCCCAATGGGCTCCCCACTATCTCCAGTAATTGTCAATATCTTTATGGAAGATTTCGAGACCCGATCACAATCCACAATAACGCTCAAACCCATATGTTATCTACTATATGTTGATTATATATTTATCATTTGGTCCCATGGCAGGGATGCTTTTTGTCTTCTCAAACCCATCTGAATAGTATACATCCTAGTATCCAGTTAACAATGAAATGGAAACTAATTCAATTCTATCGTTCCTCGACGTTATCATAAAGAAAAATCAATCCCAAGGTTTTCATCACTCTGTTTACCAGAAACAAATTAATTCAGTTATTATTATCCATCTCTTCAGATTAATACCCCTTTGCGTTGATAAAGGTAGACCCTGGGAGCATCTAATGGCATCAATATCTCACTCAATCTCAACCCAAAGACTTAAACCCTCATCATACGAAAGCTTTTCTTCCTTACATCAAAGGAGTCACTAACAAAAACGACAAAATTCTTAAATCAAGAAGAGTAAAAACAATATATACCCCTCAACAAAAATTATCTCTTGTACAAACAATCAAAAATAACATTCCAAATAAACAATACTTAGTTTATGAAATTCCTTATGTCCCCGATCTTATGTAAGCGAAATATATCATGGAATTTAAAATAGGATTTATGAATATTTCATTTCTGTTCGAAATTTCAATTCAATTTCAGCTCTTGGTCAACACCACCGTCACAAAATTGATTTTGAAAACACTAGAACCACAGCACAGATCCGCTTGTATAAAGTAAGAATTATCCAAGAAGCCATAGAGATTTAAAAAAGGCCAAATTGTCTCAATAATAGAGATGACGGCATCCGGTTACCTTCGAGATGGAGACCTCTCATAAAGAAAATAGCGTCCGTTCCACTTTCCAATCAAAATTCGAGTAGATGAAGTTGGCGGTTGAGCTGAAATCTGATTGTTTGCAATCTCATACGGTCCCATATACTAAAAAAATAAAATACAACAAATTGTGAGGAACATATTTATTTTTGAAAATTGACACGAGTGCTTTTTTTGTCAATATACAAAAATTAAAAATTTGAATCTTAACACCTGCACATTTATTAAATTCATGCAATATATCTTGTCACACTTAATAATACATTTATTTTAATTTATCTTAACTTTTTATAGACTCTATGACTAGAACGGACAGGTACAACAACTTTACAGCATGTGTGTATGAAATTGAGGTTTATTTAGAATTGAGTTTCTAGGAGATACCAATTTTATTTTATCCAATATTAAAAGAAAAACAATACATAAAATTAATCAAAAATTGGAATATAAATCTGGGGACAAAACAATTATGGTTTGTAGATTGTTAAAACTGAGTCAATAATTACCAAAAAATGGAAGTAAAATATCTTTATGAATATATGCATGAAAGTTCTTTTGAAATATCGGATTATGCAGTTTAACGTTCTATTATAACCAAACTTTTTACGCCCATCACTTGAATTTTTTTTCTGTAATCGTTGATTTTGTTTCACCTTTCTGTGTCCAGTAATAATCGTGAAAAGCGTGTTCAAACTATGAAGAAAATTGCTAAAAAATACTGAAATCTAATAGTAAAACGTGTTAGTCATCATTGGCACTTAGTTCCACCGTTATCGGCTTCGTGACGTCAAATCTCATGAACGTACGGTCAGTTACTTCGATTGGAAATCATTTTCAAACTATAACTGCGAAATTGTATATGTGTTTGTGACAACAAATTGTATTTTTTTTTGATAATAATATTTTTATGTTATTTTAAATTTATTATAAATAAACACCATGATGTTTTTTGCAGTCTCGTTTCACAAATTTTTATTCAATACCATATTTAGCTAAGACATATAAATTAAAAATGTGATAATTCTTTTTAAAACATCTATGATAATCAATCAAAAAAGGTATTGCCGACAAAACTAATTTGAATGGAGAATAATCTATTTGTTGTCATTAAACTACCCGTCGGCCGACGCCACTGAGTAAACAGCTGTACCCGTCGGTTATATATATATATATATATATATATATATATATATATTATATATATATATATATATAATAATAGAAAAGTCAATAGTTAACATTGTGAAATAACTTTCTGATACTCAATACTAAATCCTAATATCCTCTATTTCATACAAAATGCCATTTTACTTCGCCATAATCTTTAAGTGGTACCCTTATTAGAAAAACTTAGGACAGATCTTAATTTTTTTCGAATTTTAGGAGAGGTCCACTTGCTCGCACTGGAGTTACTTGAGCCCATGTTACTAGACGACACACCTTCGTCAACATCATCCGCTTCAGTCTTTATTTCCATTTTCTGGACGATGAGACGCAAAAACTGTTGTTGTGTTTCCAAAGCTTTGGTGATATCTTTCAGTTTACGTTTTGTCTTTTCCAATTCTGCTACTATATAATCTTCGGTATTATCCATAGCTATATCTACTCCAGCTAAAAATTACAAATAAAGAAATAAAAAGTTTATTAAACTAAATCCTAATATATATAATTAAGATTCCAAATTTTAAACCAAATAAATATGACCGACAGTAAAATAATCGAAAATACCCTGCAAATAGAAATATATTATTTGTAAAGAAAGCTAGTGGTTTTAAAAATTTAGTAAATAATAGCATTGATTATAAACCACCACGAGTACGTGTAAGTATGCGAAACCGGTCAGTAAACAATACCTATTACTAGATATAGTAAAGTTATTTATTATTTTATACTAACCGTCATCAGAAAAAGGATTTCCAAACCATTTCCTTAAAATCACATCCAGGAAACGTCCTTTTGATTTAGCATCGTTGGGATATTCAACAATTTCCATCTTGTCAACTTTTTCTAATACAAATTTCGGCAGTTTTCGTTCTAATTCTGTATGTAATACAACCTAAAAATTATTCAGAAATTATGAAACATCCAGTTTATGTAAAACAAGCGAAATGCATCAAAAACCGCGTGACAATATTTATAATGGTACAATTATTTGGCAAAAGAATTTGGTAAAATACACAGGCCAACGATGAAAAAACTTTTTCACTAAAAATACCCTATTCTAATGTCTTTCAGGTCGCTGAATCCAAATATGATGCTTACAAAGCTGTATCACCCACAATTTCTTCACATTTTGTAGTAACATTTATTTAATTAAGCGATTTCTACAGAATTTAACATATACTATAATAGTTTAAATATAATCAAAAAAGTAGAGGTAATGGACTTAAATTGTGTTGGTAGCACTGCTGAAACATACTAAAAGATCAAAAAGGTAGATTCCATTTGAACGTTAACAGCTGATGTTTGTTTACTGTCAATCTAACCTCACTTTCACGGTTTTTGTACACGTGCTCAACACAATGTCTAACCGCGGTTGTAAAAACTCTGTTGACAGTTTTTGTTATATTTGTGGTGAGTTTGTGATTAAAAAACACCAAAGAAACATTACGGACTTTGTGAAAAAGGTTTATCGATCATACTTTGGAACTTTACTTGGCGATCAGGATAAATCTTGGGCGCCGCATAAGGTATGTTATGTATGTGTTGAAGATCTAAGAAAATGGTCAAAAAAGGAGAAAAAATCCTTCAAATTTGCAGTTCCTATGATATGGAGAGAGCAAAGAAATCATTCTGATGATTGTTACTTTTGTAGTGTTGATGTAACTGGTCACAACTCAAAAAATAAGAAGGTAATAAGCTACCCTAACCTTATGTCTGCCATCCGACCAGTGAAACACGGTCAAGATATGCCGGTCCCTGAACCTCCAGATGATTTGGATTCCATTCAAACTGAACCATCTTATGATGTAGAATCTGAGTTAGGTGAACAAGATGATGAAGAATTTCGATGTATTACAGAAAATGTAGAGCCTAAATTGTTTACTCAGATTGAACTTAATGACTTGGTTAGGGATCTAGGCTTAACTAAAGAAAAAGCTGAATTGCTTGGCTCTAGACTAAAAGAAAAGAACTTGTTGGGTGCTGGAACCAGCATTTATGTGTATAGAAAGAGAGAGCAACAATTTTCAAAATTTTTTGAACAAGATGGTGATTTGGTGTACTGTACAGACATTCCAGGTCTGATGAATGAATTTGGTGTTGAGTACAAAAAGGAAGACTGGAGGCTGTTCATTGACTCATCCAAAAGAAGTTTAAAGGCTGTTTTATTACACAATGGAAACCAGTACGCATCTATACCTGTTGGTCATTCTGTACACATGAAAGAAAGCTATGAAAACCTAGAAATAGTGCTGAATAAAATAGGCTATTGTGATCATGGTTGGATAATATGTGATGATTTAAAAGTAACATGTATGCTACTTGGTCAAAAAGGTGGTTTTACCAAGTTTCCATGTTTCTTGTGTGAATGGGACAGTAGGGCTAGAGATCAACATTGGTGCAAAAAGAACTGGCCTGCTAGGGAATCTTTAAAACCAGGTGAAAAGAACATTCTTCGCAAAAACCTCGTAGATCCAAAAAAAGTGCTCCTACCACCTCTTCACATAAAGTTAGGCCTCATGAAACAGTTTGTGAAGGCTTTGCCTAAAGATGGGCCATGTTTTATGTATCTCTGCCTAAAGTTTCCACACCTCTCAGAAGCTAAACTGAAAGAAGGCGTCTTTGTCGGACCAGACATTAGAAAAATGATGTTAGACCTTAACTTTGAATCGACAATGACCTCAAATGAGAAAGAAGCATGGGTGTCATTCAAGCAAGTGGTTACCAAGTTCTTGGGAATAAAAAAGATCCAGAATATGTTGCTATTGTTGCTATGTTAAAGAACTTTAAAAAGTTAGGATGTTTGATGAGCCTGAAAGTTCACTTCCTGAACAGTCATCTTGATTACTTCCCGAAAACTTGGGCGATGTAAGTGAGGAGCAAGGAGAGCGTTTTCACCAGGACATTAAACTGATGGAAAAACGCTATCAGGGCCGCTGGAACACTAACATGATGGGGGACTACTGTTGGTCACTTCACAGAGAAGTTCAGCAGGCGACTCATTGTAGAAAAAGCTACACAAGAAGTTTCAAAGAAAAGAGTGAAAGAAAATACAAACCAATCCCAGATGACTAATGGAACCTGTATTATATCATATGTATAACTGTTTCAAGTAACCTATTGTAATAATATATTCATGATTATGATGTAACATAGTGTTTCATTAATTTCACCATATACCGTATTTATACTACATAAGAAACTACATAAAAATGTATACTACATAAAAACCCAAATTGCAGAAAAACTATGGGTGATACAAAAAAACTAAGGCCAGATTTGGATTCAGCACATAAAAATCAATAAAAAGCAGCTATTAAAGTAAAAAAAGTTTTCACAAAAAAATTTTTCGTCGGCCTGTGATATCAGTAGAGAGATTAGAAGGTAAATCGTAACTAGGTACGACTAGTAGGTATGTTTGTAATTGCCTACATTTATGTTTAGGAATTTGGCATCTCTTGATGTGTACTGTTTTGGAGTATTTTTTCTTCTATTAATTCTAATGTAACATAAGTTATCCATTTTCTTCCTTTTGTTCTTTTTCTCATCCCAATCGTTTCGTTATATTTTTGAAGTTCCTCTTTATTTATTTCACTGTTTCTTTATTTTCGGGCTTTACTTTGGGGCTATTTTTATTTTAGAACTTGCTGCTCTAAACAAATACCTAACCTAACCTAACTTTATTAGTTAACGGTAATCTAGATTAAGTATCTAATTAATAAAAAAACAAAACAAAATACATATATTTACCTGCATAGCTAATCTTTTGAGTTGAGCATTTCTTCTTACAGACTCAATATCTCCAACAGCTAAACCGATGAGCAGATTCATCAACAGGATCGGCATGAGAACCATAAACAAACCCAATATCATAAATGCCGGAATAGGAAACGGTAGGAACGACCTGTCTTGTCCATCATTAGTCAAATAATATGGTTTAACGTAGGTACCTAAGAAGTCAATCTCTCCCAGCATCATGGAGAATGTACGGATTAAAGACATTGGTATCGTTTTAAATGAAAGGTGTTCACCCTAAAATAAAATTTTACGAAATAAAATTTTGTAATTCTCTTTCAACAATATTGTGAGCTCGTTTGTAGTTTCTAGTACTATAAAGAAACATGAAATCAAAACATTTCTCATCGGTAGCGATTCAAGTAAACTGCAAAATCCAAGGTTGCTAAAAACTACAAGATGACAAAACGATAGCTGGAATAATTTTATTCCGATAATACATTAGCTGCTTCATTGATTTTATTGATTATCTCTTTATAGGTATTCTGGGCTGAGGAGTAGATTAGGTTTGTCAATTTTTGGCTAAGTCGCAGCTTATGTAGGAATGATGTCGGGTCGTTTTGCAGTGCATCAATATTGTATTTAGGTAGATTCGATTCCAGGGGTTTTGATTGATCTAGTTCGTTGTCATTTTGATGTAGTAGCCGAGGTCGATACTGTAGGTAACATTTTGATCTTACCATATAATGGTCAGTTCTGCACTCCGGTCCTCTTAATACTCTTATGTCTTCAACTTGTATGTGTGTTTTTGTTTTGTGATGACATAGTCTATAATTGACTTTGTGTTTCTCGTTGGTTGAACCCAGGTGTACGTATGTATGTTTTTTATGTTGGTAGAATCCGTTTAGGATTTTCAGAGAGTGCTGTTCACAGAATTCGATTAAGTATTCCCCATTTTCATTTGTTTTAGCGTCACCATATTTTCCTACGACTTTGTCATTTGTTTTTGTTCGTACCCAAGCGTTAAAATCTCCCAACAACACAATTATTTAAAAAAATGGTAAAATACATTCAATAATTGTTTGTTGTTTATATCTTACTTGATTGAGGTTAACGGCAGTGTGATTTATTTTAATTACATCAAAATGGTTAGTGGGTACAATGTAGATTGCAGCTATCTTCGACATATAACATTTACTGTATAATTTACGTTCACAATTAAAATATTAGAATCAAACACAATTCAAATTAAAACAAAACAGACACAAAAACGTTTCGTTGGGTGACTGTCATTAAGGTTAAGTACCTACCAGAAATACCAAATATCGAATGTTACTGATTGACTTATGCCAGAAGATAATTAGTTCCATGGTGTTGATGTAGTAGATGTTTATTTAATTGTTGATGTAGTAGTTGCCAAGGCGACAGTCTTGGTCGTTCTTCGAGTTAGCTTTGGCGGTTTCAGTTATTCCTGTTCTACTGTAAGACCATTGCTGTAGATATTGAGGACATTTTGTAATTGTATAATGTAAGTGTTTATCTACATATTTATAGTGTACAGAAAATGTGCTTCTTGCTAAAGAAGTGCTAATGGTAATACTTCTTGGTTTTCTCTTAATAATAGAAATCAGACAACGAGAATTTTGAATATGAATCTCAAGAGGATATACTCAACAATAGCCCTCTTAGGTTGCTAGCTATAATTTAATTTTATTAAAAGGAATACATGTAGAGATACAAATAAACATTTCCTCTATTTTGCTTTTCTATTCATTTTTGATACATAGTTTTTTCAGTAATTTTCCTAAAATCTACATACTTAAACAAAAAGTACTTACCCTCGATAGTAAAATGTAGAAAGCCAATCCAAAAGCGATGATAAGTATAGAAAACACCATGAGTACCTTAATGAGGGTCTGCAGAATCTCCAAAAACATCACCACATAGATACCGACTTGATCGAATCTTTGTAATAGCAGTAAGAGATTGAACCAACTCAAAAATACAGTCATTGAGGCACATGAAAACTGCAAGTCGTACATAACTCCTCCAAATATGGGCAGAACCATGATAAGTGCCGACATGTATAGTAACCACGTTACCAAATTGATGGGATCCATGCAGTAGAGGAATTTTTGTTGATAAAGCTGAAGGGATTCTCTAAAGATGTTGATGCCTATGTAGACGAGAATTGCTAAGGCACTGATGTACATCATCGGACTGATTCGGATTGTTAGGATAAGTTTTTTATGGTATTCTACATATTCCTACAATATAATGATTAGTAAATATATAAAGTTTCCCTTAAGATTTGTATATATATATATATATATATATATATATATATATATATATATATATATATATATATGTATTTGTGCAAAAAAGATAAATATTTTAGCAAAAGCTGCTATCGTTTTGATAAATTAAAAAGCCAAATATATGGCGATACTTGGCAGTGCTCCTTAACATTTAAAATAATAATACAACAGAGACAATCCGCAAAATTTGCACGGTGAACAGATGCCATTTTGAGCTTAATCTCCTCCTTAAATTGACAATTGTATAAGTATCAAGAAATACAAAAATAAAAATGTGCAAAACAATAATAAGTCCAGTCCAAATCTATGGGTCAGAGACCTGGAATCTAACAAAAAGTAGTGAAAACATATTGGGATGTTTCGAAAGAAAAATACTAAGGCGAGTCTATGGAACAGTGAATGACAATGGAGCGTGGAGAAGACGACTACACGTTCGAACTTTATAGAATACACCAAGAATCAGATCTCTCTCTCTTTAATCCTGACCCCCCAGGGGGAGTGTAGTGGTCAACGTGATGTCGTGTATTGTCCGTCTCCAGAGATCTCTGTCTCTGGTCATTTCTTTTAATTCATGCATAGGTCTTTGGCATATTCCTGTAATTTGATCTATCCATCTTGTTGGGGATCTTCCTCGTGATCTTCGTCCTTCTACCTTTCCTTGTATTATGAGTCTTTCCATGTTTTCTGTGTATGCTCTCACAACATGCCCAAAATATTTTAATTGTTGGAGATGGACTTTACTAGAGAGTCGTTGGCTAACTTTTAGCTCTCTTAAAATTGAATTATTTGTTCTACGGTCGGTCCAAGGAATTCGTAACATTCGTCTCCAACAGAACATTTCAGTGGCGTCTATCTTTCTTCTCTCCGATTGTCTCAGAGTCCAAGATTCACATCCGTAGGTCAGTATTGGGAATATTAAGCAGTTGATCAACCTCATCTTTATCGCTCTTGAAATTTGACAGTCCTTCCATATTTTGGTCATTTTTGCTGTGGCAACTTTTGCTAGATCACACCTACGTTTAATCTCTTCTTGTAATGACCATGTGTTTGTGATTAATGATCCCAGATATAAGTATGAGCTCACAACCTCGAACCGGTCAATTGTGGTTTTGTGTGGATGATTGTTGTGTAGTCTATCCACTATCATGATCTTTATCTTTGATATGTTTAATTGCAAACCAAATATTTGACTTTCGTTTTCGATCAGTCGTATAAGTTCTATCAGCTCTGCTTGACTATTTGCAAGAAGGGCTGTGTCATCTGCGAAACGTAGGTTGTTTAGTTTATGACCATTTATTGAGATGCCCTTTTCCCATCCTTCAAGTGCTCTTCGCATAATATACTCCCCATATATGTTGAATAATTGTGGAGATAGTACACATCCTTGTCTGACACCCCGTTCTGGATGAAATTCGTTCGAAAGTGTGTCAAGTACTTTAACTTCAGTAGTGTGTTCATATAGTTCGGTTATAAGCGTAATTAGATGTTGTGGTACGTCTACTTCTTTTAGTATTCGCCATAAGTGTCTCCACTTGATCCTGTCGAATGCTTTACGGTAATCTATAAAACAGATGTATAGTGGGATGTTGAATTCACTAGATTTCTCGATTATCTGTCTTATATTCAGCAGGTGTTCTCGAGTGCCTCTACCTTTGGTAAATCCAGTTTGCTCTTGTGGAATTTCTCTTTGAAGGAATGTTTTCAGTCTCTCATTGATTATATGTAGCATTATCTTGCTGGCATGGGATATAAGAGAGATAGTTCTATAATTGTCGCATTTATGGAAGCTGCCTTTTTTATGTATGGTCGTTATTGTAGATTTTGTCCAGTCTTCAGGCCATTGTTTGGAATGCCTTATTTGGTTACAGAGTAGATGAAGTAACTTTACGCCGGTTTCTTCTGAGGCTTTAAGCATTTCTGCTGTTATCATATCTGGACCTGGTGTTTTGTTATATTTGAGCTTGTTGAAGAATCAGATATCGTAAAACAAATTAAGATAAGCCGTTTGAGGTGGATAAGGCTTATATTGCGGATGGAACAAAATGACCAAACTCATAGACCCATTGGTGAAAGAAGAAGCGAAAGACCCAGAACAAGGTTCCTTGTTAACATCGATGAAGACATGAGAAATATGGGACTACGTGCTTGTCGGAGGAAGGCGATGGATAGATGGATAGAAAGAAATAAGTATGGAAGTTATAACATTACACTTGAGGCGGATATCTCCCACACTGGCTCCCAATATCACAATGCAATAAATGAATCAAAACAATTACGTAGCGTAAATGTCTGACTGAAGTGGATACAAACTGCCTACAATAGAGAGACGTGGAAGAAGGAAGAGGAGGCCTATGTCCAACATTGGACAGCAAGGGCTGTATAGATAGAAATGTCTGACTTATTATACTTTTATATAAGCACATAATAAGTATGTTTTATACGGCCACCAAAATCACTAGATATGTTGACTGTTCCATGTTCAAAACAATACATAAAAAGAACACATAAAAGTATAATTCTACTAATACTTACTGCGTGAGTCATATTCGTTGTATTGACAATTGGAGTGACGACGTCTGAATTATCTTGTTGCATTAATTGTGAAGCAAATCCCGTTATAAAACCCAAAAATACGCTGTAAAATGTAACGTTAGCTAAATGAAAGTATTTTCCGTAAGAGTTCCATTTCATTTGTAAATATTTTTGACTAAGAGGGTGAGCAAGTAGTTCTACTCTTCCATGTGTAACCATTGCCTAAAAAAGATACAAAATAATATACTACTTTCAGTTTTCTAGCGTCTCAAAGCCTATCGGCTGTTTTTCACTAATCTATGATCGGCTTAAATTCGGATTCAAAGTCATAAATGCACTTTTTATCTTTATTTTATTGGACTATATCCTTCTAAAAGAAAAAAATGTCAAGAAAAATAGATATCTGTTAACTGAAGAACCCTGACAAGAAAAATGAAATAAGTATCAAGGTTAAGAAAGAAATAGAAACGCTAGAGAACAGAAAACAAGAATGGTGCATGTGCAAGAGATCATGCACCACATGGAGATAAGACGAAAATATAAAACAAACCCAATAGAATACAAACGAGTCAATAAAATTATTATAAAAAAGTGCAGAGAAACTAAAGAAAACTGGATGTCAACCAAATGCCTAGAAATTTAACAACTTTAACCACATTGAATGACCTGCTAGGTCGCCAGATTTGAATTCCATGGACTTTTCTATTTGGGGTTATTTGAAAACGGGCCAACCAGTTTGGTTTCATAATCATGATAAGCGGTTTCCATACTTTATGAACACACTGTATATTTTAAGAGTAAAAACACCGTTTTTTGTATAAATAACTACTTACGTTTAATGCTGGCAGTGGCTCTCTTTTTGGAGCAGTTTTATCTTCTTCTGTGTTAGGAGTAGAAATTGAACATTGCAAACTACTGAAGCTATATTTAATCTGTAAATGAAAGATATAATTTTATTAATGTTCTATTAAGATACAGAATTATTAAGTTCTTACATAAAATGATTTTGAGTCCTTTTTGCAATTTGGTTTTGTGATGCATTTGTCTTGAACTGCCTCAAACACTCTCGGCATTGAAGCGATTAGAGCCAGTGTTACACAAGGGTGTTTACTAGATTTTAAATTTAGAATTTCTTCAGCCCTGAAAATGATAACAAAAATTTCATACTTAGTGTTGGAAAATTTTCGAGAATGAAAAATCGGAGAATATTCTCCAGAATTTTCTCGATATGGAGAATTTCCTGAGATTGAACCATATGACGAGTTAAGGTATATTGTTTAAAATGAAATAGGGTATTAGGAATCATGAAATTAGATACAAAATTATGAGACGAAACAACAGTGTTTTTTATATATAAAAAAATACAAAAACGATAGAAAATATAACATTTATTTGATAAAAAAATTAAACTTTTTTCCTAACAGCAAATAACGGATGTGGTGATCTAATCTAAAAAAGATGAGGTCTCAGATTCAGAATCTATTTCTATCCTTAGCTCATCCTGTTCATCTACATTCTGCATTTCAATATACTGATGAGAAGTTGTCGGATTTTGTTGTTCACGAGTCGCCAGCTCAGTAATGGTTTGATCTACGTGTAACAATTTTTAATTGTGAGCAATAAAAGGTACCTTACCAGCTCGCTCAGCAGTAAGCTGGTTTCTTTTAGAAGAGTGGATAAAACCATAAGTACTGAAAATTATGTTTGCTGTATAATATAAAACTTGAATCGGGGACTCCCATGTGTTAATATTTCAAATTAAAAATAATTGATCATTGCAAAGTTCAGAAAATCAAGCATAAAAGCTGCATCTTCTACAAATGTGCATTTTTTGAAAATACAATTGTTACGCTTGTACTAGGTAAATGATTTTAACTAAGAAAAAGACTTCTTAATTGAATATTTACAATAAATAAATCCTTTAACAAACTATCAATAAAGATTTCAGCTTCAGAACAACATCAACTTGTTGGCTTCCCAGTGAGAAACCATAGATTCGTTAACGACAAATAAACGGTTGAATAAAAAAGTTCGGTGATTCTGTGATGAACAGAGCTAGTTCTGTGATACGTCATGCATATATCACGATTTCTATACTCTGTTTTTTAACCAGGAGGAGTAAACCAAAAAGACAGATTCACACCCAAGAAAGTTACTAGAAAAGTCACCGAATACATCTTCTTTTTTTGTTGTATATCTCGGCCTTGCGGTAATCGAGTAATCAATATCGGACAACCTTACACGTCAATTCTAACCTTACTTTGTGTTTTGAATATTTTTTTAATTCACTTATATTCACCAATATATATTACAATTATTACAATAAATAGGACGTTTTTCACATGTGGTCCCATGTATATATATTTAAATATCGGGTGATCCAGTTTTATAGATCTTCTGAGTCGATGGTACTTAATTTAGAGAATATTTTGATCCAGAGAGTCAATAATGTTACAGATCTAAGTATGGTTTTTCTCAGAAATTTGTCTTTTAATTTGCAAATAGATCTTATATGCAACAAAGCTATGCAAATGCATGTTACAAAAAGTTAGAGAGAGTTCAAAGATTTATGAAATACTGTTCTTTTAAACTGCGTAGACATTCTTATTCTGGTGTGATTAATTTCTTGAATCTAGGTTTTTTTCTTACCAGAAGAATTAACTTTGACTTTGATAATTATTTTTAAGCTTAATAATCTAATCTCCTGAATTGCTTCAGTCGGTTTGTTTTACATATTCCTTCCCATTCACTGCTTTAGAATTGACTTTTTCATGTTTCATATCACAGAATAAATTATGGTTCAAAGGTGTGGTCCTACTTTTCATGCATGGTAATCAGTTACCTCATAAGATAGATTTAACTTATGTATCAATATTTTAAGGATCTATTTGAAGCACTAAAATGCAAAACAATAAATTTGTATAAATAAGTGTGTACTTGCAATTTCTTTAATGCTGGATTCTTGTTTAATTTTGACAGTGAGTTTGTCCCATTTGTTATCAATAAATAAAATTTACTAAAAAATACTGAATTTCTGTGAGATAATCAACTAATTCAATCTATTATGTTACATTCTAGTATAATTTTGTAGTTTTCTTGAGTTTTCTTGTGATGATCTACAACAGGAAGAACAAAACCAACTGTATCAATACAATCAAAGTAAAACACAACATTACTAATATGTTCTTTTATTGTGATGAAAACAAAATAAAAATGCTTCTTAACAAGTATACACATAATATATAATATATATATATATATATATATATATATATAGTTAGTTGCCATTTTTCTTATGATAATTAGATATAAATATCAGCTATAAAAATATCACATTAAATACTATTATCGCATATCACCAAGTCCAAGTTATTACAAAAACAACTTAAAGAGTCAGAAATCGATTTATATAATATTCTGTGCATAATATATATTCGGAATGAATGTAAAAATAAAAATTTAATAATTTTATTAGTCTTCCAAAATCTCTCCATATGTCTTGGGAGATTAATGAACAACTACACCATTTTGAATTTCTTGATTTATTTTTTCAGCAAAAACTGAATCTATTTAAGATATTTGAGCAAGAAAGTTTTGTTTTTGGTCAGCAGCCCAATGTATAAACTATTCTTTGAATAATTTCCCTAAAAAATAACTATGTAAGATAAACAATCTATAGTTACGCTATGTAAAATTTGCTGCATTGAATCTGCATATGTAAAGTAAAAAATATCCTTTTTTTCCTTTTCTTTCCTTTCCATGTTCTTATATCTGTTGAACCAAAATACTTGACAACATTCCAGTAGAGTATACAAATAAAAACTTAAAACTTAATATTTAATAGTAACAATAATATACCTGATTATAAAAATGAAATCTATAAAATGTTTTAGTTAATTTTACTATATAATTGTAGCTAACCCATATTTACATACCGATATTTGTACTTACTTCAAATTGATTTGCTTAAAGAATTTATATAATAATGAACGACACATATTTTGGAAGATCTGAGCGGTTATTAATTTCACTTAAAATTTTACCTAAAGTGAGCATTTCATTCTTGAAAAAGAAGCTATGTACTATCTGTCGTATAGATGTTTTAACTCTTTCATCCTATGTTGCAAGAATATAAGGTCGACCTTCAATATTTTTAGGACATTTTACTGCTCCAGTCTTATTATATTGTTTAATTGTTCTAAATGCTATTGTTGTAAATAGTTAAATTCGCAACACCTAAAATTAGCACATTACTTTAGTAAGTCTTGATTTTAATAATAACTATTCTGTAAAACTAACCTGCTGCCTGTTTTATTTTTACTACCGTGGCTGTTATTTTTATTCCAGAGTTATCAATTTTCATGTTTGTACATGTTATTTATATAGTACATTATTTCTCATTTGGTGATAAATGATCCAAATCTACTCGGCGTTTTTAAGGTGGAGAAGAATAATTTATTACCACTACTACTTGGCATTCAATCCATATTGTTATCTTAATAACACTAATATGTCGCTAACGCAAACGAAAAATCTGAAGATGTAAGAAATAACACAGAAAATACAGAAAATATTCGATATAAATTTTGAATTTTAAAATTTCACAAATGTCATTAGTGTCAATATGTCATAATTTAGTGGAGTAAACTTGCCTGCGCTTCGACCAATTACAAACAAGCATTATGGCGCGGAAAAATTGAATTACTCCTCCTGGTTTAAAAACAGACCATAGTAAGTTGTTCTTTCATAAAGCATAATAAATAAACACAAACAGTCAGTAGGTCAGTACTAGTAAAGTATTAGGAAGGAGCAGGTGTATTGTATTAAATTTAAACTGGACGAAAAATTACGTCTTTTAATTAAAAATAAGATATTATTTGGTATTTTCCATATAATATCTATGAAACTATATTTTCGTTTAGATTATTTGAAGGTAGTAAGTGTGAAAATAAGAATTAGTTCTATAAAAATGAAATCAAATAAAAAATTATTCCAACACTACTATTTAAATTAAAAATAACTCCAAACAATTAGAAATTCTAAACCAAATTCTTAGGTAATTAAATGTTCAAGCACCAAATTGTAACGGACAGTAACCAAATCTATTCTACAAAGCATTCCCCATGGCGTTGAGTTCATCTGTCGATATGTTCTGGCTAAGTTGGATTATCTTGTCCTTTAGTTCCTCCATGCCTCTTTTCAAAAGCCATAATAAATAAATTGATAGTTTCTTGTACTGAATTGCCCCCAAAGTACCATTTTATTATTTGTACCCGTTCTTCTGTTGTATAAACAATCGGCATATTTATTTCTTATCTTCACACTTACAAAGTTACCTCAAAAAAAAAAAAAAAAATACATAGCATAGCATAGCTGTCGGACTGCCTCGTCTCGACAAATGGCGATGTTGCCAAAATTATCTTATCATTCAAAATTGGGTTACAATTTCGTCAAATAAAAATGCGAATCTGTAAATTTTTCATGGATTTAAGAAATTTTGGACCAGTATTTTTGTCAATTAATATTTCATTTTTAATATCATCTTTCAGGTTTGAATGGCAATATAACCGCACCACTGATCGCCAATTTTTTAAATGAATTCAATGTTTTAATTCAAATATGTGATAAGACAACCCTGCCGCTGTTTCTTACGTATAAGCTAAGCGGGATCGGAAATAATCGTATGGCGTTTCTTAATGGGCGTATATAATATGGGTATATGGGTGTCAAGTTTGGGTTGTACCAAAGCTAGTAATCTACATATTATCCAGAGATTTTAAAACAAAGTACTGAATCATTATTAATGCTCCTTGGTATGTCTGTAACAGTAACCTCGACCAGACCTGGGTATGGAAACTTTGACCGAAGTAATCAAGAGAACAGCGGCAAGTCAAGAGCAGAGGCTGCATAGTCATGTGAATGTGAAGGCAATCCAGCTTCGTGACAACACTGAACGAAAAAAGAAAAGAAGAGAAGAAGAGAAGAAAAAAACTAAAGAGAAGAGTCATAAGGACAAAACCATGCTGAGTATACTGCTGTGATGTTATTGCATGTTAGTTGTTAGTTGTGTGTAGTTGTTAGTTGTAGTGCAGTAGTTGAAAGATATTTAAGTATTTTTTGTTTATTAAGGTCAGAAAATAACTGATAATTGGTCATTTGTAACCAGATAGCAGTATACATACAAAGGTGTTATAGAAAAAAGAATATTTTTTGTAAAAACTGTCCCAACTTCCCAAAACTTTCCCTAAAAATTCGTTGTGATTGGGTAACGATGTCCTTTGCAAATAATTGTATAAAAACATGTTTTTAAAAAATCTTATCATTTTATAGATCTAGCTTTACTATCCAGTCTTTTAGTATCTATTTTACCTGTCTTCGTGAGTTACCATCGCTAGAGCTGCTTCCGGAAACTTATAGTAAATGGCGTAGTCGATCGCATTCATATCCATTTGGTTATACAACAACTTACAACCGACTGATAATAAAAAAGCGATTGCATTGGGTTGGTTTTCCATAGTTGCTAGATGTAGTGCAGTATTCTGAAAGAAATGTAAATATCTTACTCAAAGAACGTATTTATAGACACAATATTTATAAGAATAAAAAACTGTAAACATGTAATAAAATCAGCAACGCATATCAAATATGAAAATTGTTGGATGTTTTAGAGTAGATAATTACACGAAATACGTCTAATTGTTAAGAATACAATAGTATATTACTTTATGAGTAACGAAGTGAGGCGCCTAATAGAGGGCAAGTCAAGAAAAGTCGCTTCTTTGCCGAATAAAGTATACTATTTTTTCTTCAAACGTAGCAATTTTCAACCATAAATAGTACAATTCATACGCTATTTTTACTTGAAATTAACTGTGACAACTATCAAAGTCGTCTAGATGTTAGAAATTAAAATAATTAAGTCGTCGGTGGGATTTGCGTCTCCCTGGTTACAGTTGTTTGCAATTATTAAAGACAGCTTATTGTTGTTGCAACCGCAAGCGCAAATGTAGTGCGAAAATGGAAAACCTAAATTAAATTGAGTCCGTGGCTAATGATGCAATAGCACGTTTGGGGCCCTCCAAGTCCGGAATAAAGTATCGGTTAGCGTACAAGCACTTCCAAGAGTGGTGCGATACTAGAGGAGTACGGCAAGTTACCGAAGACGTTTTACTGACATATTTTAATATAATGGAAAATGAAAATAAATGGAAGTCTTCTACAATGTGGTCACGATACTCTATGATAAAATCCGAGTTAGTTATTAGAAAAAATGTGGATATAAGCAAATTTTTAAAGTTACGTGCCTTTCTGAAAAAAACAAGCGAAGGATATACTGCAAAGAAGTCTAAAGTTTTCACTAAAGTCTTTAGTCTTTAGTCTAAAGACGAGTTTGATAAATTTTTATTTGAAGCGCCAGATAAGTTGTATTTAGGATTAAAGGTAAAAAAAATTATATTACAAAGCATGGAGTATACTCTACTAAATTATAAAAATATTTCAGATTGTTTTGTTAATTGGGGTTACCGGCATCTGTCGATGTGACGAAATGGTAAAAATGAAGACTGTGGACATTGAGGATAAAGAAAATGTAATAATTATTAAAATCCCAGACAGTAAAACACGACAAATTAGTTTTTTTTCGATAATTGGTCAAAACTACATTAAACTGTATAAAAAGTATGCATCACTGCGGCCTGAAAATTTCACAGAAAACCGATTTTTTATCAAGCACCAAAATGGAAAGTGTTACCGAAGCGTCATGGGAATACATTCGATCAGCGCAGTAGCCCAAAAAGTAGCTAGTTATTTAAATTTAAACGATGTAAGCGCATATGACAAGGGAGCTGGAAATCAAGCACGGTTGCCGAAGGATATATAGAGGATTCAATAAGAAATAAGAACGATAATGCTCAAAAAATTTTAAACCCTTATGATTCGCCAACATCGGGAATGATTGCTGAAAGTTGTTCTCGACCGTCAGTATCATCAACAATTACCAATGCGTATCAAGAGTCGGGAACATTTTTGCACGGTTTCAATTTTGAAAATGCCTCATTAACTAATTGTACTTTTAATATTACTATAAATAAAAATGATGTTTAATTGTTGTTAATGACATTTGTATTGTTGCTTTGTGACATGTTTCATATTGTTGCCATGACAACATTTTTCCCTCCGCCGTAAAGAAATGGGAAAAAAACTGCTTCCGGCGGAGACATTGACTTTGACAGGATCAAGTTAGATAAGTAATGTCATCATTATTTGACGTTTGAAGAAAAAAATTTTTTACTAGAAAAAATAAGTCGCGTTCAACAAAAGGTTATTAGTCACGGAATAAAATATAAACAAACAAATTGAATATAATATGAATTGAATATAAACAAAATTGAATAACTACTGATTATAGAAAATGTTTAAAGATCTTAGATATTTAATTATATTATCATAGGAACACTCCTGACTTTTGCTAGAGAGTTCAAAATATTGTAACGTTACCAAAATTTTATTCTTTGTGAAAAGATAAGAGTGTGTTAACTTGGTATGTCCTAGTAAGTTCGTGGCTTCCAAACTTGAGATATTAATTCAAGATCTACAATCAGACTATTTTAAAACCGTGTAGATCTTCAACAACCAGAAGGAATAAGCACCGTAATAAAAAAAGATATTATTTTTATCTTCTAAACGTACGATTCATTTTGAATGATTACTAATGAGTCACCATGTATAGTGTATACATAGAAAACCAACAAAAATTCTTTTTACGTACACAAATTCTTTTTACGTACACAAATTTACTTAAGAAAATATATTTTTTCTCCTAGGAGTACCTTTAGATAACAATTTAATCAACAACTCAATAAATTCTGGATTTTACAGTTTCTAACTTACCCCATCCTTATCAGTTTGATCAAGCAAATGGGAATGCACTGACAGTAACAATTCAATCGTCTGAGTATATCCGTTCATAGCTGCAAGATGTAATGGATTTCTGCCGTTGTGGTCCCTGTAAATAACGAAATATACACAATTTTATATTCAGCAGAAAATAATTATAAATAAAGGAATATTTGCATAAGAGATAAAAAGATTAAAAAAAGTTGCTTTAATCTTCTAGTAAAATGTTGAGCAAAAAATTAACAAAAACCGCATTAAAACCCAGGCACGTAGGGCATAACCCCTTGAGCACCAAGTCGCCAAACTGAGGCGGTGCTCAGAGCGGGAACTTGAGGCCCAAGTAAGCAATTTTAGTTCGCGGATAAGCCACATTAAGATAACAGAAATATACCGACAATGCGCTGTCCTGAACTTAATTCTGAAGGGAAAACAGTTTAATGTTTCTCCAGTTTTATTGTCCAAAACTTCCACATGAAGAGCAATTGGCTGATAGTTGTGCCTGTTGCGCATCAGAGTGCTATAGGGGACAAAGGGATGGTCTGGAGCATTGGAGCACGGTGGAGTGACTACTGTTTTTACTCGAGTTAATACACCTCGCTCCAATGAATTGTTACACCCGATCGTAAGGGGTGAACATATCTCATAGGCTAAGCTGGGGGTTCTTAGGGATGAACAAGTCTCATAGGCTGAGTTTAATTAAATTGTCTGTCCGTCTTTTTAGCGGCCAAACTATAGGAAGGACACTCATATCTATATCTAAGAATCTTAGGTCATGTTAAGATGAATATCACATAAGCGTTACTTCCACTATTCCCAGTATCTCCTAAATTATTAAAAACAATTAAAATTATTATTCGAGAAGGATATTATTATGGAGATAAATTTTGAGAAAACCAAAATGATGACCAATATGGTTCCCAGCGAAGAGATACAGATCAATAACAACAAGGTAGAATTAATCGATAAATACACATACTTGGGTCATGAAATTAGAATAACCAGAGACAACCAAACCTGCGAGCTAAATAGACGAATCACGTTGGGATGGGCGGCATATGGACGGATGAGAGACATTTTTAAAACAAATATCCCAATTCACCTGAAAAGGAAGGCATTTAACCAATGCATCTGACCAGTCTTGACCTACGGAGCAGAGACCTTAACTTTAACGAAAGCTACTGCCGAAAAACTGAGGGTAACACAAAGACGAATGTAGAGATCAATGCTGGACCTAACCTTGAAAGATCGCGTAAGAAATGAGGAGATACGCCGACGAACTGGCGTAGACGATATTATACTGCGAATCAATAAACAAAAGTGGAGGTGGGCTGGACATGTTGCTAGAATGGAAGACGGAAGATGGACGAAGAGATTATTGGAGTGGAGACCAAGAGCCGACAAGCGAAGTCGAGGCAGACCACCCACCCGATGGACCGACGACCTAAAGAGAATAGAAACAAACTGGATTGCAGCAGCTAGAGATAGAGAGAACTGGAGACGTTTGGAGGAGGCCTATATCCAACAATGGATGTGAAAATTCGGCTGGATGATGATGATGATTATTACCTGTGCAGGAGAGCTCCTCTATTGAGCAAAAGTTGTACTACCCTGGTGTGTCCTTGTTGAGAAGCGATGTGTAGGGGTGTCAGTCCTCCGCCGTCGCTCTCGTTGATAATAAATGTTCCTTTTTCGGAATCAAGTAGTTGTCTGACGGTGTTATATCGACCATACCTGCAAGTATATAATAAAAATAAATTCATACCTGCTTATAAGAAAAAAATGTAAACAATTCTTTACAAATATATATATATATATATATATATATATATATATATATATATATATATATCTATATATATTAAATTTCCAGATCCCTGTACTTATCGATCTTTGCGTTCTGTTTAACACAAAGAATATTGTTGTTGGGTATCGCCACATCAAAGTGTTGTTTGTCTCTTTAGTTTATTAACTAGTATGAGATCTGGTCTATTATGTGCCACTGTTTGGTGTGGTCCCAGTATATTTTGTAGTTCATTATCACGTCTGCTTTCAGGAACGTATTGATAATATGGGAGATGGTTTGTTTGGAGAAGTCCCAGTTTGATGTACTTTAGCTTAGTGTAGTCCTGGTCATAAACAGATATATTTTCATAAAATTCCCTGAATTCAACAGGAATATATGGTATGTTTGGCATCAGATCTTTATTTTTCTTCTTTTTTGTTAAAAGTTGTCCTTTATATAGTCTGTATAAACACCTTTACGAGTTTCATCTCTTTTTATTTCACAAGGTAACTGTGTTTTCTATCTCTTACGTTAAAAAGCCGGGTGATAAAGCACTCACCACTGTATAGATAGTGTAAGCTAGTCGAAAAACATCCGGTATAGTATATTTTAAAACTACTTACCTAGCAGCGAAATGAAGAGGACTCTCGTTGTTATTATTTTTCAGATTAATACATGCTCCCAAGCGGATAAGATTTTCCAAACTCCTTATGTGCCCTTCACGGCTGGCGTAGTGTAACGGTGAACATCCATTAATGTCTTTTTCGTTAAGGAGCTGCAGCAGACTTTCTTTTGATTTCGCCTGTTAAATATAAACAAATTTAGAATGGGCAACGATTTTTATCGGTACGAAAATCATTTTTCTTTGTGATTTGTTGAAACTTGTTGATTGAAGTTTACAAAAATTTTCACCGAAAGTGAAAAAAAAATATATATAACGGAAGTTAATTAAGACATTTTTGGAAGTATTTTTGCAAGCTTATCACGAATTTGTCAAAATAATCACGAAATTGTCAAAATATTCACGTTGTCAAAATAAATGTATCCATCTTCGTTTACGACTTTACCATTTTTAATAATTTTTTCAAAAGCGTTTTGAGAATTATTTTCTTAATAACTTGAAACAGAATGTCGTCAGTTTTTCTAAATCTATTGAAGTATTTTTTTTTAATTCAAGAATGGACAGATAGACGGACAGAAAAATAATCTATCTATAATCAAATGATCATCACAAACACAGTCTTCACGCATCATTTTTGTCGTCTCATAACATGGAGATCACCATTAGGCCTATACAAAAACTATAGTAGAAGCCACAGGTATAATGCAGTGTTGGTATTAATGGAAAAGCCTAATATTCAACATCTAAGACTGAATTTATTATGTAGTATAAAACGTTAGAGGAACCCAAATCGCCCAATTATATACATGGATAAAACATACGTCAATTCATCTCACACCTACCAAAAGAGCTGGTCTGATAGTTCAAACAATTGTCTAGAAAAGCTGGCCTAAAGGACCGTGATGCTTGTGATAGTGCATGCTAAAGGTGAAAGTGGTTTTGTTAAAAATGCTTATCTGCGCTACAAACCTACTCTAAAACCAGGAGATTATCATGATGCAATGATCTACGACAATTACAAAAAGTGGCTTCAGGATAAGCTGATACCAAATTTGCCCCCGTACAGCGTTTTACTGATTGATAATGCACCGTATCACTACGTAGAAACTGAGAAATGTCCAACTATATCTTTCAGAAAAGCAGAAATGCGGCAGTGGCTGACAACTCGAAATAGTTTGTTTACATATGACATATTGAAATTTGAAATATACGACATTATAAAATTACACAAACCTCGCTTTAAAATGTATGAAATTGACAAAATACTCGAGGATAAAGGACATTCAGTTTTACTGAGAGCGCCCACGAAACTGGCGTGGCAAGTGGCAAGTAGCAAGTAGCACGCGTCTAGCATATTACTTAAAATTTAACCAATGGAAATAAATGATTAGAATGATTGACGTCACTGTCATTTTGGTGTGCGCTGAATCATTCGTATTCATTGGTTACATTTAGAGTAACATGCTAGACACGTGCTACTTGCTACTTGCCACTTGCCACGCCAGTTTGGTGGGCGCTCGCCCTTACGGTTACCTCCATATCATCAGTCGAACAATGGAAAAAGAGGTGTGAACGTGTTAAAAAAATAGAACAAGGTTATATGGCAGAACAGCCAGATTTGACACCATGGTGGATGAAATAATCATAAATGTAGGTGTCGATAGTGACAGTGATTCTGAAAATGATGACTCTGATTCTGAGTCAGATGATTTAGAAATATGAAGCTGAAACACTCATGTTGCATTTTTTCAGAAACTGTTTAGATCCTTTTAATAATTTTTTAGAAATAATGTTATTTTTATTTAGTTCTCCACGGACGATTGTAGCAGTCGAAACGAAAGAATTTTTAATTTCCTGCCTTAATCATTTATAGAGCCCCTACACTGCCACTAATAATCACATTACAAAATATTTTGTATTCTTATTTTTAATATTTTATATATGACTTAATTATATAGTACTAAATATTTCATTTTTTTAAGAGTTTACACTTGTTTCATACTTTGGGTAAATATTCAAAGATAAGGGCCACTTTTAGCAAAAGGTACTGATATAAAGACACCATATCTATGCTTCACTGAAACCGAACATCTAATTTCTATTAGTATTGCATTGGACGATTTTATTACTACTTTATTACCCTACTGCTTACGCCCTTTTTCTCCTAAACCTTTTGGTCAATATAATGGTATTATAAAGTATAAATGGTCAATTAGGTACTCCAAAGAATCGGAAAGGAGAAAGAAATCGTGAATACAAATTAAGCAAAGAAAGCTTAAATACCTAGGCCACATATTGAGACACGATAAGTACCGTCTGCTACAATTGATTGTCCAGGGAAAAATAGACAGTAAGCGAGGACCAGGCAGGAGAAGACACTCGTGGCTCCAAAATCTGCGGAAGTGGTTCGGGCTCACATCGGTCGAACTATTCAGAAGCGCCGCAAACAAGATCAAAATTGCCATGTTAATAGCCAACGTTCGCAACGGACAGGGCACTTGAAGAAGAAGAAATGGTCAATATAAAAATATAATTTTTGGTTTATAATGCCATAATTTAAAGCAACACAAGCGGTTTTTGTTGGCTCTATTTTTTTACATCTCACTTTGTAGAACAAATACCACAAATATACTGAAGAAAAGTAATGACAGTAATAATAATTGTTTACGGGACCTATTAGAAACTATTCAAACTTTACGTTTCTATATCTGTGTCTCCGATTGTACCTATATTTTAAAGCTCACCCGCGCGTACAGGCTATCTTTTTTCTTTCGAGTGAGTTCTCACTTAATTGTTCGCGCAGGCAGTTAGATTTTCAGACTTTCAGCTGTTTTTGGTGAACTGTATATGCAACAAGTGCTTTCTACTAAACGCCGAATACTGAAAAATTAAAATTTAAGGTAGCACTAAATGTGATAACTATAAAATAAATACATGCAACATTTTCGCGTATATAAACTACTTTAGTTTGACTTACGCTAATTTTTAGCTAAATTCTAAATCTAAATAATACATACCTAATTTTTATTAATATGTGCATGTCAAACAAACCTATGTTCTCTATATTACTCATTACCATTCAGCTAAGCAAATCTGGCAATGTGTGTAGAAGAAATACAAAAACACTACTAAAAATAAAAACTAATCAAGCAAAGCTCTAATAGTTACCTCACTTACTTCAGATGCAAATTTCTCTAATCTTCCACCGTTCATTACTACCAGATGTAGGACGTTCCTCCGATTAACGTCTTTTATATTGATGTCTGCCCCTAATCTATAAAAAAATATTGTTACAGTTTGTTTTTCCTGCGGTAGTTTATTGTAAAAACATGTGGTTCTAAAGAATTCTAATTACTGAATTGTTTGTGAATGTAATTATGGGGTCCAGTGCATACACTATAGGGGAACACGCTATACCTAGGGACGGTCGTACCTAGGGACAGGCTAAATTAATGCCAAATAAAATATCAGACAAGCCTTAGATTTAGAACAGTGCCTCTCTATGGTATTCAGTTGTGCACATGTTCTTGAAGTGTTAACACAATCTGAGACCATTTTGTAATTTTTGACGTCCAAAGTAAGTATTTTTACCAGCTGTTTCGTCTTATTGCAAATTATCAAGTTGACTGTAGTAAATAATCATATTAAGGTGATATTAATCGTAATTTAGACTACCTAATCCAATAATCAAACCGTTGTATTTGTTGTGGCTAACTACTTATTCGACTGCTTTTATACATGGAGTCCCCCTGTTGTACCTAGGGGCATAAATTTTGTTGTACCTGGGCGGTCACCAGGTGCATTATTAAAGTATTAGTACCAAACAATGTTTTGTTTCAGGAGCTCATTATGTCAATAAGTAAAGAAAAGAAGAGAAGATCGGAACCTTTAAAAGTCAATGTAGGGAATGTTGTCCTTGAAGTTTTAAACTCAAGTCTTTCAATTGGTGAGGCAGCGAGCCATTTTAGAATTGCAAAGTCTGCATTAGCAAGATACATTAAAAATTTTAAAACATCAGGTCAAAACAGTTTTATATACAGTCCGAATTATAAAGTCAACTAAGTTTTTAATGAAGCCGAGGAGACGGAGCTGGTAAAATATTTAAAAACAGCTGCTAGAATGCATTATGGCCTAAGTTTGATAAACGTTAAAAAACTGGCATATAAAAAAATATCCTGCCTGCTGGGACGATACAAAAGAAGCAGGAAATAATTGTCTTAGAGGTTTGCGAAATACACATTCTACATTTCTGTCACTTAGACACCGCGAGGGTACAAGTTTGGACAGAGCAACTGCATTCAATTAAGATACAGTTGGTATTTTCTTTTAATCATAAAAAATGCGTTGAGTAAAGGAAACTTTGAACCATCAAAAATTTTTAACGTCGATGAGACGGGTATTACTACTGTGAAGCAACCTCCTAAGATTTTAGCACTAAAAGGACACAGGCAAATAGGAGGAATGACATCTGGAGAAAGAGGTGTTCCAGTTATTGTGATATGTTATAATAATGCAGCTGGAACTACTGTGCCGCCTTTATTTGTGTTTCCGAGAGTGAATTTTAAAAGTCACAAGCTGGAGCAATAGGAGCTGCAAATCTGAGTGGATAGTCCAATGAAGATGTATTTTTCAAATTCCTAGAACCTTTTATATCACATATGAAACCTACTTTGCAGGATAAGCTTATTTTATTGTTAGATAACCATGAAAGCCATGTTTCCATACACCACACTGATTGCAACCTCTCGATTTATCCATTTTTGGACCCTTCAAGTCTTTCTACAATAATGCAATGACTAATTGGATGAGTTCTCCTGGTAACGCCGGGAAACCAGTTACCATTTACGACGTAGCAGAGTTGGCAAATACTTGAAGGTATTTAGTCCAAACAATATAACAAAGGGCTTTCAAGTATCAGGTATATATCCCTTAAACAGTGATATTTTTACTGAAAAAGACTTTTTTCCATCTAACATAACCGATCGAGAGGATTCATATTAACACAACCCTTCTTGTTTGTTCCATGACACACCGCATTCCGATCCACCGCATTGTGATGCTTCCAAAGCAGACCCTAAGCCTTCATGTTCTGGTTTAACGTCATCTTCCACACCAGAAGCTTTCAGGAACCAATTCCTGTTATCTCAAGTTTTATTTCACCATATGAGGTTCGTCCCATTCCAAAAGCTTTGCCGCGCAAAGGGATCATTTCTGAAGGGCGCAAAAAGGAAGGTCTCGCATTCTTATCGACACCACAGAGTTTAATGAAATAAAAGAAATTATACTAAGGAACTGGAAAAAAAAAACAAAAAAAAGTAAAATCTAAGTTAAATATTGAAGAACCGTCGCCAGAGGAAGATCAAATTGATTTTGAGATTAGAAGTGACAGCAGTAATTGTAATACTAATTCTTTGTCAGATTTAGAAATTGATTCCATTCAATTTACTCTAGATGATCTTCACAAATGTGCAATCAAAGGATTTCCTTTTGGTGCACTTAAAAGGAAAAAAGCATTCAGAAAATTTTGTAGTCATCAGGAAATTTTGTATCAGCATCATCAGGAACGGTAGACGAAACAGAGTTCCAAATAAAATATTTTAAGAAAGCTCATTATTTTGCACATGGCTATACATTTACGGTTAAAGATGAAAAGGATTATACAACTAACATCAGCGATATTCTACAAAAACTTCCGCAACCACGTACAGCAGGTTCATCCTCTCTACAATCAAACACATTTATCTTTCCAATATCTTTTGATAAAATTAATTTAGGGTATTCTGTGTATTATTAGCAGTTTATATTTTCAATAAAATTTTCACGAATATTAGGAAGCATTTTTGTTTACACATTAAATTCTGATTGTACAGGTACTTCAACTCGTATCCCTAGGTATTACCTAGGTAGTTACTAGGTTTAATACAACTTTTCCTGTCCGTAGGTACGACAGACCGGTTGTTTCTAGGGATACGTACATACATAAAAAAGTGATAAAATGGGTAGACATATATAGTTTGGGAAATTGGCATTTTCGAATTAGCTTTACAGAGGTATGATCAACTATTCAGATGTTATTACTTAAAAATATTTTATTTATAAAATTGAAATTGTAAAAATTACCAATAGATATTATCTATTGGTAATATGTTAAAGAAACATATGGCTGCATAATGTGTGCTACCTTTCAACAAAACAGAACGATGTTGTGGAAGCATAAAGTGATTGTCTCTGAATCTTGTTGAATAAACATGGTTAAATTGAAATTTATTAAATTTATAAGTTTTGCTATGTAAATACATTATACACGAAAATATATACAGACCAGGAATTGTAAGAATATTGTTTTGTCTAAAGATGTCTCTACAAGAATCTCTAAATTTCATTTTATACATTATCCTAATAGCTCTTTTCTGAAGTACGAATATCTGCTCTAATTCAAAGGTACAACCCCAGACTTCAATGCCATATTTGGCTATTGAATATATTGGCTTCTTTCGAAGAATACGCAACTTCTTTCGAAAAAACTCCGTTTGTATTAGTTTTATAGCTGGATAATAAAGCAGTCACATTACTTTCTACATACATGGGTTTTTCTCCAGTTTAAGATGTGAAAAGGTTTAATAAAAAAAAAGAAAAAACGAGTGGAAGTACCAAGTCCAAATTTAGTATTAGAATATAACAAACATATGGGCGAAGTAGATCTTTTAGATAGTATTTTGGGGCGTTACAAAATCTCAATGAGAACCAGAAAATAAAAATACTGCAGAATTTTTTATCATTTAGTTGACATAACCATCATCAACGCATGTCTACTCTATCGGAGAGTAGAGAGGCAAATAGAAAACACAGCCACAATGTCAATGGGAAAATTTCGTGCTGAAATCGCCAATTATCTGTGCAACGTTGGGCAGAATGGTTCAAAAAAGAGTGGAAGGCCATCTTCTTCCACTTGACCGAAATTTAGAACAGAAAAAGAAAAAATCATCATTTAACCGCATTTCCCCCAAAAGATGTAAGAACTGACAACTTTGAATAAACTGTTAATGAAAATGGAACCCTTCAATATTTTATATGTAGCAGATATGCTACATAATGCATTGTAGGGTTAAGATCATTTGTAGCATGAAATTGTAGCATGGTTGTAGCATGTGATTCATTAAAAAAAATATATGTAATAAAGAAGCAAAAGATTTTTTAAAATATTTTTCACCCATTCACAGCACCAATACCTAACCAAAAGTATTTTTTTGAAATAAATTCAAAAAATCTTGCATTATAGGGTTAAACTCTGACAGTGTCCAGAAGAATTGGTTGAATGACTTGAGGTAAACCGGCACTGGCAGACAACATCCACAAATCCAACATTATCAACAAACTTATTTAATCCTGAGATTAAAACAAGTAAATTGTAAATAAACAGGTTACTTAAATTACCTTTATCATTCAGTTTAAATGGAATTGGAATTCGGCAGTATATAATTGATTGTAACCAAAACTGATGCATATTGCAAAATACACATATCGGGTAATTTTAATCGATCATATACACCATATACTGAAATCGAGTTTTGTGGGTTTCAAATTGGTTATCGTCCCTTTTATTGTATCAGTTATTCGTATGATTGTTAGGTATCACTAAACTATTCGAATGTGCATCAACTATTTTAAATATAATAAACTATTTTTTCTACTCGCTTACTAGTAAATTGTATATTACCTACTATTTGGATGCTAAGTAAATGCATCATAACAGATACTGACACGTAATGACTAGCACGTAATAAAAAAAATTACGCTTCAGTTTTATAAAAATGTGTAATATCACATAAGCCTTGTAAGTCAGTTGGTCGAGTTACCATGGAAACGAATTAACAGACGTTATTTTAACAGATTAAAAATTATTAATATGTCAGTGTAGATATAGTGGTAATTTAATTTTTATTTTTATAAAAGAAAATAATCGTAGAAAAAGTATAGTACACAACTTGAGTTTTAAGGTTATTGCATGCTTGTAAAATTATTGCGCTCGCCGCTACGCTTCTCGCGCGCAACTTTTTTACTTGCATGTAATAAGCTTCTTACAACTCTCGTTATGTAATATACTACTACATTACATTACATTAACTGTTGTAGAAAACATGCATTTAATAAAAAAAATGTATCTATAATATATCACATCTGGTACCAAGCGTAATTGCAAAAGTCAACTGAAACGAAATGGGATTACTTACAAAATATAAATACTTAGGTCATCAAATCCACATTATCAGAGAC